TTGACGCTTTTTTGGGTTCAAGGTTTTCTGGGCCAGCAGCGTTATTTAGCGACGAGTTAGACCCATTGTCTTGATTTCCAACGTCGGCAACATCGGATTCCTCGAATGCTTCGTTAACGTGGGATACTTGTTGTCTCTTGACTGGATTATAACTGAGTTTTGATTTACTTGGTTTCGTATCATCTGTCTTTTCCCCAAGTGCTACCCCAGACGGATCCCCAGGCAATGATGGAGAAAGAGGAGATGCTGGCTCATCGTAGATCGGGTTACTAAAAGATCGATTTGTCTTATGCTGAATCTGGTCTGGAGAAGACGAACCGACATCCTCGCTTCTATTTTCCATTTCCACGGCTTGCTCAACGGCATGAATGTGATCGTTTCCTCTGGAAGAAGTACTCATAGGACCCTTATTTGCGGCATCGCGGTGCTCTAAATATCCTCGTCTTTTCACATGTCTTTTATGACTAAATCTGGAGAAATGCAATTTGATAATCAATACATGATTACATTTTTTTTTTCAGACCACCTTCTTCACTAAAAGCAAACGACAAAGATTATAAACAGCATTTGAACGCGTTAGTGGAAAAAAAACGAAAAACACGCTCGAAACTAGAAGTACCTGCCAGCCTTTTTGCATCCGATCAGAGCGGCAGCAATAATGATTAAGAGCAGTCCACCACCCAACGACGCCCCGATAATAACGTTCAGTGGTTTCGACTGTCCGTCGTTTGCCTTGTGTTCCTCTGTGTCCGATGGTAAAGGATCGGCACTTAATATTTCACCTCCAAGAGATGTTTGAATGTTCTCTTTATGGTCCATCACGATCTTACTCAATACTGTCTGAGGGACAACACTGCTTTTAGAAATTCCTTGTGGAAGACTCAAGTAGAAAGCCAGTAAGATTACACCAGGAGAATCGTCTGACTGTTTGGGATAACCAGGAAGAATATGAACCATGTCAGCCGTAAATTTGACGTCTAAAGACAACCGCCTTCGTCTAAAAAAATAAAGATATCATACTTGTAAATAATGAGAAAATAAAAACGAATCAATATAAAGGTAAAATCATTGGAATATAAAGATTAACAAACTGTCCAAAATAATTGTGGTGATGATGACGATTATGATGATGATGGCCGATATTAAAGCAATCTCTTATTTTTGATAATGCTCTTATTGCTTTATTATATAGATACTGTTTGTTGCCACCAATAATTAAAATGTTAAATTACAGCTATTATTTATAAGAATAAAAGCATGAACGAGGAACTTGACGAAACCCTTTGGCAAGGATTTAAAGGGAGAAAATGTTTACAAAAGGAATTTAAGGACGTTAATGAAGATGTGTTCGTCACAATGGTAATTGCAATTTAAGCAACTGCAAACTTAACGAAAGGAAATGTTCACAAAAGGATTTTGAGGACCATTTAAGGGCCATTTTATCCTGGGCGTTAGCTCAATTCTCGCTTTTTTCTTAAGCTATAGAGCTTTTTCACTCATGTGGCTGGCAGCTATGTGAATTTATTGCGACAAAAGACAGCATTTACATAATTTAAACTGTAACATGTGGGTGCTTTAAATGCGTTAAACGTATATCGAATTATTTAAAATTCGATTGTTATCTAGTGATTGATTTAACAGTTCATTCGTGTCTGGCAAACAAAAATAAATAAAAACCATTCACCTTGATTTATTTGGGAAACATTGAACTTTTGCACAATATTCCCTTGCTGCTGCTGCAACTCGGTTTTTGAAAGACTGTTCCATGTTTTGGTCCCACTGATAAATAATAATAATAATAATAATAATAATAATAATAATAATAATAATAGCAAACAAAAACACTCCGGCATGAGTAAAAGGCAGAAAAACAGCAAACGAAAGAATAAAAAAAAAAAAAACAACATAATAGTAATGACTACTAGTACTAATAATTTTTTTATCCTTTAAAGAGGTAAATGTTATACCATAGAAATCCAGGGAATCTTGATTTAGACTATGAAAATTCCCGGGGGTGGGGAATTTCTCACCTGATCCTTCTAACCTCAGGTATATTTTAAGGCATGGCTCTGCTATTTTTTATTTTATTTAATTTTTTGCTCTGAAATATAAGGGCTTGGTCTATCTTCAAAAGAAAATGCGTAGCAAGGGTGAGTCGTGGACATTGCATTATCCCCGTTAAGATTAACATCAGCATGGAAACTTGTTGCGTGACCACGTAACGCTTCACTTCCGTATTTTTTCTTTAAGGATTCTGCTGGCAGGGTTGGAAACGTTTACTGAGAGTTTTTCTTGGTTATGTTTTTACCTCTCTAAAGTACTTTCCAAATATAACTTGAATGGTGGTTTGCCTACTTTTAATGAATGTTTTCTAGCCATCACGTGACAGAAATATCGTAACATTTCAATGACCGCGTGACCTGGACATGCCTTTCAGTTAGTTTCGTGCACATCTCGAAACGCAAAACATTTTTGGCGTTAATTGTTAAGTTAAAAATTGTAATTGGACACCTAAATGAGTCACGTGATCCTTACTTGACAACTTTGAATTTGAAGTTCCATTCTCCTCCTTAAGAAAAGATTTCATTAGAAGTTGGAATGTTTCGCTATTTCTCTTTCACTTTTACATTCAGTTCATTTTATTTGCCGGAAGGTAAGCCTTAGAAATTAAAGGTTTGATCAATTCACGCTCGCGCGTTCTAGTCCTTTTTTTAAACTTTATAGACAGACATCTGTGAGCAAGGACTAAGTCAGCACAGAATTTCATTGTCGGCGAATTTCTGTTATAGTCCATCGTTCTGCTAGTGATAAGCTAGCCGTTGATTTACTCGTCTTCCTTTTTAGGGACTGAGTCTTATTCCTCCAAAGAGAGAGAAAGAGTGTGTGGGAAATTGTTTCCAATCAAAGATTTGTAAACTCGTGTCTGGCAAACTCTTCAAGTGTTTATATAAACACTGAGTTATGCGCACGGTATAACTTCATATGTACTTAACGAGTGTCTTTTGGTCCATAACCTTTAAAAACAGCTGGTCCACCGAGTGTCATTGATAACACGTAACGCTGATAAATGTCACAAAATCTACCAAAGCGGTCCCTTCGGGATTTTTTGTTTTACGTTATTATAACCATCTCTTACTTTCTGGCATATACTGACTGTATACTTCAACTGTAAGTACTTACAGTTGAAATATATTTAGCGCGAGTTACTAGAGTGCCTTCTCGGGATTTCGCTTTCTGCGCGAAATCTCTGCAGGGGCAATTATTAACGGTAAGTCACTATAAGAACAATGGGGGCGGTATGGCCGTACACGACACAAGTGATGCCATCTCATAAACCAGTGAACTTCAATTACTTCACCCAGTAAAAAAACATGTTAGAAGAAGGCTTATGAGAACATGACCATATTACACTAAACACCACAATATATTGTGTAAAAAAGCAACAGATAGATAACCGGAAGTTTATTTATGAGCCGACGACAATCGTGTTACATAAACTACTATGCAAGCCGTGAAAACAGCACTCAGCCGACAGCAAATAAAAGATCATCGATTCTTGCCTAGAAACTGCGATTAACAGTAAAATAACTTACCGCTTGCTAATCAATCTACTCGGAGCCCCTGGGAAAAAGACTCGAGAGGCCACCCTCAATATCTCAGAAACTGCTTGCTATGTGGACACCCCCCCCCCCCCCCCCTCTGAATTTCCGTTGCCCTTTACCCGTCGACTCTGTTAAGGTCCTGGGTGTAGTGTTTGATAGTAAACTCTCATTGAACGACCACATAATTAAAACGTCATCATCTTGTATATCTGTCCTAAGGCAAATTAGGCGTCTTAAACATATATTTAGAAAAGACATACTTGTTACAATAATTAATTCTCTCGCGTTTAGTAAGTTGTATTACTGCTCGTCCGTCTGGTCGAAGACTTCTGTCAGCAATATACGCAAACTACAAGGAGTACAGAATTTCGCTGCTCGCATAGTTTCTGGGACAAGGAAGTTTGATCACGTATCTCCAGCCCTGAAAGACCTGAGATGGATACCAGTTAAGTCCCACCTGTATCTAAGAGACGCCATCTTGGCCTTTAAATCTATGACAGGTCAGGTACCAAACTACCTCAGTTCAAATTTTATCTCCAGAGGGACTATCAGTGGTTTTTCCCAGCTTAATATACCGCATTTTAAAACCAAGTCGGGACAGAGACCTTTTATTACAGAACTGTAACATTGTTGAATGCGTTAAAACCCCATTTTAAATTAAGTGAATCTCCTATCATTTTCAAACGTAAAATGAAAGCCTTCCTTTTAAATCAATTTTTAATGTCATAAATTTATATGCAAATAGTTTCTTAATAATTGTTTATTGACAATTCTTGAGTATATGTTTGTTTGTTTGTTTTTTGATTACCTGTACTATTAATATTTGTCTCTGAAAAGACCCTATGGGGAGTTGACAATAAAATTTGTATTGTATTGTATTGTATTTTATTGTATCGAAAGGAGGAGGTGGAGTACGGATATTTTCTGGAACTACACAGTCAGACTTAATACTTACAACGAGTTTCAACTCTCACGTAAGTTTCGTGTCAATAAGTTGCATATTTACGAAGATAGACCACCCCCTTCATTTTTTTTTCTTTTTTTTTTACGTACTTTAGATGACTCAGTCCTTAATTTACCTAGACCATCCGTTAAGCGGTGAAGATATCTTTTTTTTAAAGCTTAGAAGCCTTCTTTGCTATTTTTTACATTAAATACCCACAGTTCCTTTTAAGGCTGGGGACATAATAGTGAGCAAGCAACTTGTGTTATTGCTGTATTATCAATTAAAAAAAAAAAAGGAAAAAAAAAACAATGAGCTGCAGTGTATGGACAATGTATTTTGGGTACTACTAAATTCACTGACATGAAAAGAGCTACCTTTTCTAAATCCATATTATTAACCTTCAACATAACTGATTCTCTCATCACTTGTTCTGATGGCGTTCGTATAACGGGTGTGTTAGTACTTGGTTGTAACGTTGAACCATCTGCAGTGGGCGTCGAATGAGCATTAGCTGAAAGATGTAAAGTATGGAAAGGTTAAAGCTAGAGAAGGTTTATGTTAAAATAAGTAAGGAGGATAAACCATTTTTTTTTTTTTTTTTTGGGGGGGGAATCAACATGGCCGCCGTCTTGTTGTTTTGGCACACCAATATGGCCGCTGTTATGATAGTAAGTAAGTAAGTAAGTAGAGCCTTTATTTAAAGAGGGTAGCACCTAATAGCCAAAGGCTAATAAACTTGTGGCTCTCATAAAATACACAACTATTTACAATCTAATAAATATTGTAAGCTACAATATATAAACATTTAAAATAAAACAAGATTCGATTTTTATATTTAAAAAAAAAATTATTAAATGATAAAATGATGCAAACATTGTTGTTCCTTAAAAATCTTGGCAAACATGTTCTTTTTAAAACATGCTACAGAATCTAGTTTCCTAATTTCAATTGGTGTACTATTCCACAGTCTTGTTGCCGAAACAGCGAAAGAGCGTCCTCCCTCTGTTTCTCTTCTATATTTAGGACAAACAGCATTAATGCTTGAATATCTAGTGTTGCGGGAGTGCCGCTTAGTATTCAAAATTAAGTGTTCATTTAGATAATTCGGCAAATACCCATTAATTCGCTTATACATTATTATGCATTTATCTATCTTGTGTTGCTCATAAAACGGAATCCAACCTAGCTTGTTAAACAAAGCAACTGATGGTGTCATGCGATCGGCATAAGAAATAACGCGTGCCGCACGTTTTTGCAATCTTAAGACCCTATAAACCGACTCTTTATCGCAATTTGCCCAAACAACGTTAGCGTAAGACATAACAGGGCGAATAATGCTATTATAAAACTGAAGTCGCTGTTTAAGAGGTAGACAGGGTCGAATCTTACGCAGTATTGCGATTCAAGAGGCCAACTTTTTACATACTTTCTCAATATGTTCATTAAATGACAAACGATTTAGAAAATTAATAGTAATAATAATAATAATGGTAATTATTATTATTATTATTTTTACTTGAATTTTGGCGCGAAAGTCTTGCATTCTTATTGTGCTACGCGCGCTACCGTGAACACCAGACAAAACTTTTGACATTTTTTTGACATATTTTTGACAAGTTTGATGACCGGCGATATATTGGCGGGAAAGTTAGGCGGTGAACCAGCAATTGACTTACTCTGTCGTTTTTCCTTTAGTTCACCTTTTGTGGAATAATATAAGCTTTGTAATTACTATAACACTAATCAAGGAAGGCTCTTGAAATTTCTACAATGCTACACGCTCGGTTTACAAATGTTTGTAAGTAGAGATTGCACCGTTTTTTTGCCTTTGCTATAAATAGATGAAACCATTACGGCCAGTGTCTCCTAACAAAAGATATGTTTACTATTTTACGCCAGCTACTGTTCAACTGAGATTTAATAGGTACGGTGGATGTTTTGATAATGGCAGACCTCTTTCTGAGATGCAAAGGGAACGAGTATTGGACCTTTATCCAGTGATGGATTCGGTCACCGCCAAATCGCACGGGAAGTTCGTTCGAGTCCTGGCTTTGTGCAGAAAGTGATAGATCGATACAATGAACAAAATACATCCCTTAGAGCCGCAAGAGTTGACTATCCTAGGCCAAAAATTGATGAAGCAGCCTTAGAATATATAGAAGTACAGAAAGTAAGAAAACCAAGCATTTAATCGAGCGAAATACAACAGAGACTTTTATTGGATGGTGTTTTCCATCCCGCTAATTTACCTAGCGTATCACAGATCAATAAAGTCATCCGCAAAGATCTTGTGATGACAAGAAAGAAAATTACTGCCATTCCACTTGAATCCACAACCCCTGAGACAACAGCGGCAATTGATGATTTTCTCACCGAAATAGCTGACATCAACCCAACGACCCTGCACTTCTTTGATGAATCCAGTGTAATCAAAACTACAGGAAACAGAAAATATGGGAGTGCTCCACTCGGAGAGCCTGCTTTTGAAATACAGCGTTACGCGTCTAATGCAAATTTTACTATAAATCGAACCCCTCATTTTCAAACACTGGTCCGTCTCGTTGCACTCATTTTGCGGCGTGGACTTTTATAATATACTGGAAGGCCCGTCTAATTTGTTAGAAATGCTTAATTTCTTTGACGAAGTTCTTCAAGAGCAGCGAGCTGATGGAAGTGCAGTGCTTGAGCGCGGAGATTGCGTGATCATGGATAATTGTGGCTTTCACCACGGCCATCGTGTTGAACCAGTGCTCAGGGCCATGTTAGCGGATTGCGGTGTAAGACTATTATTTCAGCCACCTTACTCACCGCATTTTAATACTTGCGAATATTGCTTTAATGCGATAAAAGCTTTTTTACGTCGCCACAACATGCTAGCTGTCAATGAAACAAAAATCGCAATAGCACAGGCGATCCTCAACATCACCGCGGATAACTCTTATGCGTATTTCAAGCACTGTGGATATTTTTAAGTTAGGAGTTGGTAATTATAACGTCCAGAAAACTGAAGTTAAAAAACGTACGTAATGCCTTTGAACACAACTTACATATTTTCAGCGAAATCAATTCGTTATTTGTTGAACACTGTTGAATGTTGGCATTGTTGAACAGACCGCTGAAGCAGGGCAGATAGTACATAACTCAAACTAATCGCCACTAATTTCTTAGTGAAAGAAACATCTGAAACGGAACAAATGACTCTTACAGTCTCAACGCTAAATGAGACCGAGAATAATAAAACGTCTTCTAACCTTCTAACCAACAAATTGATATGATTAAAAATCTCAGACGAAGCTAATAAACGTACAACATGCTTCATTCAAATAAGTTTACACTTCTTTTTGTTTGCATCCTACACGAGTTACTTTTAAAAAAATGAAAAGGGAATATGAAAAACGCAACACAAAAAATGAAAAATGTCATAGAATGCTTGGAATAGTAGTTCATTCGTTCAAATAAATGTTTACATTCGAGTTCTCGTACTGTTCTATAATCAGCGGAAGTCTCCAATCTTCACCTTCGGACCAATCGGGAACCTTTTTTATCGCTCTTTGTAAAATTATAAGATCTCTGTCCAACCGACTTCTGTTTGAGTATTTAACTTGGTTTTGCTTTTTCAATCTAGGTCTCATTACGCAGAAAAACGAAGATTTTGCGCGTTCACGTGCAGCTGTAAAACCTTTGAGGTGGGCTTCCTCTTCTTGGGCCTTGTTTTCAAGAGATCTTATCTCCCGCTGAAGCTGGCTAATTTTAGCTTTGTGCTCGGGGTGCTTTTCCTTTATTTTACATGCGTTTATGTCCGTGCAAGGAGCTTTTGAACACTTCACTTTTGTATGCCTACAGCAATGACAGTTGTTACACAGCCGGCCTTGAATTTCACTTAGAGACTGAAAGTGCCTGGATTCACAGTTCAATTTCTCCAATTCGTCTTTGGCGCTAGCAACTTGTACTTTCAAAATCTCCACATTTTCTTCAATTTCCTGTCGCTGGAAGTCCAAAGGACTTTTTTCAGCGCAGTTGCCTGTTGTTGCTGCGGGACGCGCGGCGTCTGTTGTGAAAGACAAATGCTTCGGTGGCAGCGGCTCTTTGTCAGCTTCCGAAATCGGCATTCCCAGGTCGGTTCGTCTCATTTTACGGGGTAGCGGTGAATCTATTTCGCTTGCTTGTAGAAATATTTTTTTATAATCCCGTTCTTTTACTTCTTTGGCACTCCTCAGCATTTCTCCAAAAGAAAAGCCACTTGAATCGTCCCATAAATTGATCATATTACCTTCTTCGTCGCGATAACGTACACGAATGTTTGAAGCGGGTAAGTGCGCGCAAGTGGCGAGCAGTTGCGTTTTATCTCCTGCATAAGCTTCGCGAAAGTGATATCCTTGATTAAGAAAGTGCAAAACCTTTCTTCGCCGTACTTTACCTTCACTTGATAAGCCGCCATGCTGTTTACTGAAAACTCTCTCTTTCGTAGCGCCAGGATCAAGTTGTTGTTCGGCGGCGCCTTGTTACAAGATGTTCTCCACTGTGATTGGCCACTTGCCAGACATCAGACATCCCAACTTGTCAAAAATATGTCAAAAAAATGTCAAAAGTTTGGTCTGGTGTTCACGGTAGCGCGCGTAGCAGAGTAATTATAATAATAAGAACAATGATGACAAAAAAAACAAAAAAAAAATTCCTATTTAAAATTAATTTCGCGTAAGATGATTCACTGGTTTTGATGAGTTCGACTTCCTCACCGAGAACCTCGATGGTGGATGTTAAACTTGTGCTAACTCACTTTTATTTTTATTCAAGCGCTATCTTTATCACATTGCGTCCTAACCGTGATACACAATAATATATAGATTTAGCCAGGGCTAAAAGCGAAGCTCCCGTTAATAAATTCATAATTTAAATCAAACAATAAACTTGTAATCCACAGATCAGGGCACATTTATTTGACGTTTGAGGCAAAGGCTAAGTGATTTTAGAGAAAAATAATTTGACAGTCCAAGAGTGAAACAGCTTTTACATCGAGTTATTAAATAGTCTTACTTGTACACCCAAAAATAGCAATCATGTTCGATCACAGTAGATTAGGGCTGGAAAACAAATAGACCTACCTATTCGTGTATTGTATTTGCATTAGCTGTTGCATCATAATGTGGCATTCACCACTCTCTCCAACATTGCTCCGTTTGAGAGACTATGGATAATTGGACAACCCCGAAATATAATTTTACGAAACACACGCGCCATGATAGTCCTTGGTGGCAGCTAATTTACACGTTGCATTCCTCTGTCTAAAAGGGAGGCCAAAATAAAAAATAGGCCGGGTTTTTTTGTGTTCGACAAGTTTAGTTTACTAGTAAATCTTGGCGACGAATCTGGTGGTGTGTAAACCAGCCTTTTAAACATACTTTTTCTCATCACGTCTCAGGTAAACAGTACTATGAGGCCCTTGCTTTTATCATACAGACCTCGGACAGAATTTGTTCTTTTTTTGCCCTATTTAAACCTATAATTCTGCAGTTTTTCACAATTTTGCAAGAGAATTTGCACTCATTCAATATCCACGACGATCAAAGCACGCCCTTCCTTTGCACAAGAAATTATAGCATTGAATTATAAAACGTTTTCATGAAGAGAATTCTATAATGCTAGGACTTTCAGTTAGAAAAATCTGGTCCTATGTGATATGCAGGGTAATATGGACTTTTAATGAAAACGATAAACAAATTCCCAAAATCACTTTTCGGCCAGCCGGACGGGGCTCACTTTTGACAGGCACCAAATTTGCAGTGCGATTGAGAGTTACCATTTACGCTTCAACATGATAGATACGCTACGTCATAACCAAATTTCCTCAGATGGATAGTTTACCAAATTTTCTTACCCATGGTGCTCCGCTCTGCTCGCGCTTCGCGCGCGCGAGGAGCTCCGCTATAAATTCTGTAAAAACAGATTTTCTTAATGCTTTCTTCTCCCTTCCGCATACATCCCATTTTGAAACTCGCCCCAGTCCTGGTGCGCACTTTCTGCAGCTCTACCACAAAAACAAGTACGGTGACCCCCATTTTTTATTTCATGATTTTAATGAGAAGAGTGCTTCCTTTCAGTGGGGGAAAATTGACTAAAACCTTTTGTTCAGTTTTTTTTGGGCAATTCTACAGAATCGTATGGATTGAGCTGTAAAGGGTTGACTAGCGCGTGTTCAATTTAAGTCCACTTTCAAGCGTAAGGTAAAAACAACGGCATTAAACAATAACAATAAACAATACATTTAAGTAAAATTCTGTGCGATACATCATGCATCATAGAAAAAATCTCTCCTTTTTGTCTAGGATTGGGCTGCGCGCGGTTTTCTCCAAAGGGTCCTCAATAGCCGTATTCGTCAGCATTGTGACGTGAAAACGAGCATGATGACCCTCACTTTTTATTGCTTTTTTTTTATCAGCTTCTGGACTTGTTACATTAGTGTACCAAGTTTCAACTACAATCTATATTAGTTTTTTTTTTTTTTTTTACGCATACTAAGGAATCACCCAACCAGACTATCCAGTGAAATTACTTTTTACATATACTTAATTCATATCGATTAAAACACACTCTTAATTTCGACAAGTTCATTTCATTCTTCTTCTTCTTCTTCTTCTTCTTCTTCTTCTTCTTCTTATTATTATTATTATTATTATGGTGTGATCCTCTCCAGTTGCTTCTGTGGGAATTCAGCAATCCTGCAGCTTAGAGACATAACACTTTCCGCAAGATATGGGCAGTACCAAGGATGTTCGACAACTGTGCGCTTCCAAAGATATATGGTAAACTCAACCTTCCATACCAGGCCTTTGCATTTCCCGAGATAGTTCCAAGTGCATCAATTAGGATGGGTATTACTGTCACTCTCTTGGCTCTGTGGATTCTTTTAATTTCGAGATCGAGGTCTTGATACCTTTCCACCTTTTCGTCCCAAGTAGTAAGAAGGATATCTTGGTCCGCTGGCACAGCAATGTCGATAATTGTCCACTCCTGTGTGTCTTTGTGTACTACAGTGATATCTGGACGATTGCGCTTCAGCCGATTATCCGTTGTATTTAACAATTATTCCTCGAGCCTGAATGGGCCTCATGGGCTATTGACTCAGAGGCCACGAGGGCGAGAGGAATAACTGTTTTAGTAATATCCAACTACTTGGTCAAAAATATCGAGACAAAATAACTTTAGCTAGTTGAGGTTACACTTTTTTGCCGCCAAAAAGCCGGCGCTTTTCGCTACTAGTCAGCTATAACATATAGCCTATTATAGCTCAACCAATCAGAACGCAGCATTAATGATAGACCACTAGTTGAATTTTACTAAATAGTCATATCTTAAGTTATCCTCACTTCTCTATCCTCTGGAACTGGTTGAGGTTTATGGTCATACCACTTACCGTTACACTGTAACCCATACTTTCTGAATATACACCTGTAGCTCCCAGTGAACTTGCTGGGCCACCTTGTCGTGGCGGTTCCTGTATTATTATTATTATTATTATTATTATTATTATTATTATTATTATTATTATTATCATTATTATTATTACTATTATTATTATGATGATGATCATTATTATTATTATCAGTAGTTTTAATATTGTTATCCTAAACTTCGGAGCCATCATAAATTGACTAACCTGACAAAAACTTCGGTGTAGAATGTTTACCTGAACAGAAACCACACGACCGTCGGCAATTCTGCCAGGACCAATAGAAATGAGCAGAACAAAAGCCATTTGGGAGATCTGGACACACAACCTGACTATCAAAGCAGCCCGCTGTAAAACAAAGAGAAAAGGTAAATACATACAATTAAATACAAATGAACAGTAAAGAATCTGTTTACAGAGTAAAAAGAAAAAAAAAAGCAATTAAAGATATAATGTCAGCTTTTGGCAAGATATTCGCGTCCCTAATACATACCTCCACAAAAACCACATGTTTTTGTGCAATATTTTTTAGAGAAGTTAAAACTATTCACACAGAAATTTCCATGAGCGAATGATGAACAGAAGCTAGGGGATAGATCAAAACAACCTGTATGAAAGAAAAAGAACCAAATCAATCCTTAATAACAGTAAGGGTTGATTAAGATTTTCCTCGATGCCCAATTACAAAATGCCCCTGTATAGTTATTCAGTATATAATTAGATTTAGCCAGGGCTGAAAGTGAAACTCTCGTTAATATCTACAGTTTACTGAACAAAATATAAAATAGTGTAAGGCCAAGAGGCGAAGGCAACGAAAACCGCCAAAAAAATCAGTTGGTCTAGGAGCGCTTACCATTTGTGCGGAAATTTTGGTAAAAAGCTTCCGTAAAATGGTACTGGTATTTTTTTTGGTACCAAAAACAGGAACGGGATTGAGTTGTACCATTCACAAAAAATAAATAACTTTTTCGCTTTCTCTCGACTTGAAGCCTGGCACTGGTAATCCAAACAAATAGTACAGAAAATTTCGGTTGTTTCGGTAAAAATGGGAAAAAAGGGAATACCTCGAAAGGTATTACTTTTTGTCCGGAAAATTTCCACCGGAATGAACTGTTGCATTTGAATTTTCCCCGGAAATTCCTGCTTTTCCATACAAATGGTAAGCGCTCCTAATTAGCAAAAAAAAAAACCAAAAAAAAAAAGCTTTGCACTTGCAGCACACTTATTTTTTTAACTAGCCAAAAACAAATTTTTTTTTACTTTTTTTGCATTTGTCTTTACCGTTGTTTTGCACAACTACAAAGTGAAATTTCCAGAAACGTCCTAGTTACCCTTTTGATAGGGAGAATGTTGTATGTGTTCCGTTCACTTGTTTTTTTTCGCTGCCGCTCATTTTCACCCCGGTGCTAACTAGCATTTTCTCTTTTTGTCACCACCGCTATAAATTTTTTGTGTTTTTCTTCCAACGAAATTGGTCTCCTTTGCTTTTAATCTCTCGCCCTAGCTCTTTCTCTGTTAGACACGTCAATGTAGACATTGAAATTAAGGTGACTCGACCCAGTTTTTTTTAGGGGGTACCATCCTACTTTGAAGCTCTCTGGTATCCCCACCTTTACTTTTATCGTAAGTATAACACATAGAATGGATAACATATAGATCAATCTACAAGATAACATAATATTTTTGGCAATCGGAGTAAATGTCACGTGGTTATAATGCCATGCCCCTTTAAGGTCTGAGTCGAAAATCTGCTGTTGCCAGCACTTTTTCGTGAAAATCTCTCGGCTACACATAGTGCGCATTAGTGCCTTGCGCTGAACAGAGTTTCACCAAAATCGCAAAGACCCAATTCGAGAAATTCAGCGGTTTCCAAATTTAGGTCATAATTTATGTGAAAATGATAAGCAAACTTTACACGGATTATACCTAATAAACTATGAGATTCATCTCTGTATTTTGGGCATCCTTATAACAGATGGGTCCTTGGAAGTCAGCAAAACGCTTTAGGGCCTTGTAAATGCGCGCGATTTCGAGCAAAGCAAACATATAGAAATTATAGTTTTCGCTATTTGTTGACGTTTGTCGGCGTTTAAGAGTCAATCTCACGAAAAAAGCATTTTCTTAAAAATTCGTAGTTTTTTTTTCCTTCAAATTTTTTTCAGGGCCACAATTGATTAACTAACTACCCGGACTCTGAATTTCATGGTCATTGAAAAACTATGACATTACCTTCTATAAGCGCAAACTTGAGTAAACATTGAAGATTTTTAGCGTTTTCGCTGAGTTGGTGCTTTGGGAGTTGTCTATTGTTTCTAGTCTGTCATTATACAGCATTCTTGTTCAGCACGCGTGCAATGACCACGCTTTGCTGACTTCCGAATGCTCACCGAGATATGATAATTTAGTATAAGAAAATAGAAGGGATTCCCGTCACGAGTTGGTTTAATTATTGGCTTGCATTAAACCTATGAAAAAATGATATTTTTTTAATAGTAAGTAGATTTAGTGTGCAGCACTTCTTGATTTTTTTGCAAAGGCACAAAAAGCACAAGAATTGCTTAAAAATTGTGAGTTAAACCTCTATGTGTCACGCGATGGCCTGTCTCACTGTAGCAAAATTATCATATTCGGAAGTCAGCCAAGTAGATAATGTCACAGTTTTTCAATGACCATGAAATTCAGAGTTAGTTAGTTAATCAATTGTGGCCCTGAAAAAAATTGAAGGAAAAAAAACTACGAATTTTTAAGAAAATGCTTTTTTCGTGAGATTGACTCTTAAACGCTGACAAACGTCAACAAATAGCGAAAACTATAATTTCTATATGTTTGCTTTGCTCGAAATCGCGCGCATTTACAAGGCCCTAAATTGTACTTATACTTACGATAAAAGTAAAGGTGGGAATACCAGAAAGCTTCAAAGGAGGATGGTACCCCCCAAGAAACTGGGTCGAGTCACCTTAAGTCGAAAGAAAGAACCGGCTTTTGTTGTTTCATTTATTAGAAGTACCGAATGTGCGCCTGAAGAGCTATGGGGACAGGGTCTTTTCGGTCGCTGCCCCAAAGCACTGGAATGATATTCCCTTAAACATTAAATTAAGTGAATCAGTTGATGTTTTTAAATCTAGATTGAAAACTTATCTTTTTAGACTCGCTTTCAATTGACTTTTTATTTTAGTGCTATTGTTAGTTATTTTCTTTTTTGAATGTAAAGCAATATAGAGCTTTTGTATATACCGCTATACAAATAAAGTTATTATTATTATTATTGTTGTTGTTTTTATCTCTAAAAGACCGTGAAGCTATGCGATTTACCGCCGAAACGAGTGGCTGCTTGAAATGCAAAGTTTCATCCCGGCTTACATGAAGGGGTGAACCTGAGTACGGACGTACCCCATACGGACGATTTTCTCAGAACCGAAATTTCTTGGATGCATAGATTACCAAATTTTGTTACCCATGGTGCTCCGCTGCGCGCGCGAGAGAGAGCTCCGCCCTTGGGACGCACTAACTGTAATAACCTTTTGGTGATTTTTGCAGGCGTAGCATTTTTTCTTATGATTATGTCTTTACTTGCCATCCGTAACAACAAACCGGAAGAAACATTCAATGCCTGAACATAGTCTCGAATAACAACAGAATTGACCATTATGTTTGGAGTCGGTTTTATTGATGCAAAGTCTCCCCTTAAATATCCACATTCTTAATGAATTATCAGCAGGTCTGGATGAACCTTACAATTTATTTTGCATATCAATCACTCAACGGGCTCCTACAGACTGATAAATCACTAAATTCAGACGCCACATTCAAACTAAACAACCCTTTTCATGGCCACAGTCTTTCGATGCATAAGACCATGCATCAAGCAAAATCGCGAAATCAAAAGGAGCGAGTAAAAATTAAACACAACAAAAATAATTTTTGCTAAAATTTCTTGAAATAGTGCTAATTTTTTTCTCCAATATTGCTTAGCGCAACCACGTATATTTTTTGTAGGCTGCATAGTTAGGGAAGCAGAAACTGAAAAGGAAAACGAATTAACCACAAGTAAAGTTGTGCTAATTTAGAACCCCAAACGGAAGGAATGAACTTGTTGGCTATACATAGGGTTTTTTACCATTTACATCAACAAACCGGTTGGTCCACAGTTTGGGCGAATGGCACGCAAAAATCTGGACTGGAGAAATTCGTCCCATAATTGCCGAATTTCAATAACTTTGAAACAGTAATAAGATTTATCAAGCTCATTCTCTCTTGGGGTTTATTCATGGTGAGAATGCACTTAGCTTTCCAGCTAGCTAACAAGCACCCCGTTAAAATAATTAAACTAATAGAAATTATCTGAAAAGCAAATATGAGGATCAAAACAAAGACAGCAACAGCAACAGCGACAACAATTGGCAATTGGAATCGAGGCCGGGGATTTGAATTCGGTATGGCCTAAAAATAAATCCAGTTAGCAGTCGGAGCGAGATTAGAACCCGGGACTGCCAGATTACACTAAAAAAGCAATAGCCACTCAGCCATAGAGCTGCCTCTCGTGTTGAAGATAATGTTGTGCTTTTGTTCTTCACCTTAGCTTTAAACGAAATATGTACCGAGTATTTTAACGTCTAATGAACAAGAGAACTATTTACTTTCACTGCTTTCGTTTGTCGGCAGCACGGTCGGACTATTACAGCTTCCACTGGTGATTGCCACATCATCGATAGCTATATCTCCTGTACTTGAAGACCCCGCAATACCTTCGAAGGTTATCTATAATTAAAGTAGATTTAAGTTAGCCCTAGTAGTATGCAGGACGTTTGTCACATGAACCTAGTTTAGTGGCCTTGGCCTCCTGTAGCTAAGTGGTACAGCACCTGGACCAGTAACAAAGGGTCATAGGGTCGCGGTTGACTTTTAATGCCGGGAAGTACTGGGACTTTTTCCTCAAAGCCACCCGTGTCAGTGACTGAACGATTATAATCTTTCTCATAATTTCAATAGGCCATTTGCACGATTACGTCGTTTTACCTCTACGACCAGAATCCTTTACGTTTTTCCTTAATATTTTAATTTTGTAATCCCAGAGAGGTTTCAATAACAAAACCGCTAATTTGCACAAGAAAGCAAAACCCTGAAGGATGCCGGTCATAGTAGTGAAATGACGTTATCATGCATGCAAATAGCCTATGTTTTGAGCGAATAAAGCAAAAAGGATCTTTAAAAGTATCGTGGGACGGTTTGGCAAGATCATTTGATAGATATCCTTTTACGTGCTTAGGATTTTCAAATGATCTCTCGAGCTTTTCAGGGATTTCTGAAATTTAATCAATACCAACGATCGCGTTTTCTTGAGAATCGAACTCATTAAACTTACACTGTGTCGCAAATAAATTGTTTCATTTCCTCGTATCCAGTGGTTACTCTGATTCCCAGATACATTGAAAACCAGCTCATTCCCGCTGTAAACATTAAGAGTCCCTATCGTAACACCATACATGTGATAATAAAAAACGAGACAAGCTGCTGCGCCATTTCCAGGAACAGTCACTTGAAGTTTTGCGTTGTCACCTTGTTGCCTAGGTAACGACGTGTCTATATACATGTAGTAACCTGCAAGAGCATTATGATGTTATTGATATTGGTAATGATGAAAATATGAGAATGTAAATTATCTATTAAGCAATTCCCTCTCTTAACACAAAACACACTTTTCGAAAAAAAAAAAAAAAAAAAAACGTACTCAGTCTCTTTTAAGCTTCTCCCATACACACCAATCAAAGTAAGGTACAAAGTCAATAAAATTATTGTCACTTACATCTGTAGGCCTTCATGCCAGACAATCAGTCTTTCTCTCCTCAGACAAAACAAGAATAGCTAACCGCCTTCTTATTTCGCTACCACCACCAGCCCCTCCCTTTTGTACCACCTTCTCCTCTCCCACAACATATTTTTAAAAAAAATTGTCCTGACAGAACGAGGTTTTTCAATGACTCGGTTCATAAACGTCATTTAAATAATGTAATTCTCAGTGTTATTGCCGTATACATAAATAAGCAAACTGGGTATGAAAATGCTGTCAGTTTCAAGACAGTTATTTGTAATAGTTCTTTAATGCCTGGAATATACTGCATAAAGAGCAAAACAAATTAATACGATTGACAAATAATTATAGTGATGTTCATAACGACATTGGCTTAGATCTTGGAGTAACTTTCTGCCCAGATTTACCAATACACCAGCATAGTAAGGTCTCATTTACGAGGGTCTTAATGGCGTGGTAGCTTTGACAGTTGACTGATAACATGCAGATATTGTGAAATCATTTACAGTGTTAGTGTATGTACCGTTTCCAGTCGTGTGATCTGATGAAGGCCCCGTATTAAAAGATGGAGTACTTCCGTTTCGCAGTGTCCAGTCAAATACGTCTGAGCGAGACTGACGCCATCCATAACACAATCCATAGTCAAAGCTACACGATGTTTGTGCAGAAGGCGACGTCCAGGGCGACCACGTTGTCCATGGAACAGAAGTTGGTGGTGCTGTTGGTATAGACAAGTTGTATATTCTTTTAACGTTTCCCGACTTTAAATTCAGGCGGTAGCGAATATACAAACAAAATCACAGCAAAATTTCCCAACCCGTTTTTTAAGAAAATGCTTTTTTCGTGAGATTGACTCTTAAACGCTGACAAACGTCAACAAATAGCGAAAACTATAATTTCTATATGTTTGCTTTGCTCGAAATCGCGCGCATTTACAAGGCCCTAAATTGTACTTATACTTACGATAAAAGTAAAGGTGGGGATACCAGAAAGCTTCAAAGGAGGATGGTACCCCCCAAGAAACTGGGTCGAGTCACCTTAAGTCGAAAGAAAGAACCGGCTTTTGTTGTTTCATTTATTAGAAGTACCGAATGTGCGCCTGAAGAGCTATGGGGACAGGGTCTTTTCGGTCGCTGCCCCAAAGCACTGGAATGATATTCCCTTAAACATTAAATTAAGTGAATCAGTTGATGTTTTTAAATCTAGATTGAAAACTTATCTTTTTAGACTCGCTTTCAATTGACTTTTTGTTTTAGTGCTATTGTTAGTTATTTTCTTTTTTTTTTTGATGTAAAGCAATATAGAGCTTTTGTATATACCGCTATACAAATAAAGTTATTATTATTATTATTGTTGTTGTTTTTATCTCTAAAAGACCGTGAAGCTATGCGATTTACCGCCGAAACGAGTGGCTGCTTGAAATGCAAAGTTTCATCCCGGCTTACATGAAGGGGTGAACCTGAGTACGGACGTACCCCATACGGACGATTTTCTCAGAACCGAAATTTCTTGGATGCATAGATTACCAAATTTTGTTACCCATGGTGCTCCGCTGCGCGCGCGAGAGAGAGCTCCGCCCTTGGGACGCACTAACTGTAATAACCTTTTGGTGATTTTTGCAGGCGTAGCATTTTTTTTCTTATGATTATGTCTTTACTTGCCATCCGTAACAACAAACCGGAAGAAACATTCAATGCCTGAACATAGTCTCGAATAACAACAGAATTGACCATTATGTTTGGAGTCGGTTTTATTGATGCAAAGTCTCCCCTTAAATATCCACATTCTTAATGAATTATCAGCAGGTCTGGATGAACCTTACAATTTATTTTGCATATCAATCACTCAACGGGCTCCTACAGACTGATAAATCACTAAATTCAGACGCCACATTCAAACTAAACAACCCTTTTCATGGCCACAGTCTTTCGATGCATAAGACCATGCATCAAGCAAAATCGCGAAATCAAAAGGAGCGAGTAAAAAAATTAAACACAACAAAAATAATTTTTGCTAAAATTTCTTGAAATAGTGCTAATTTTTTTCTCCAATATTGCTTAGCGCAACCACGTATATTTTTGTAGGCTGCATAGTTAGGGAAGCAGAAACTGAAAAGGAAAACGAATTAACCACAAGTAAAGTTGTGCTAATTTAGAACCCCAAACGGAAGGAATGAACTTGTTGGCTATACATAGGGTTTTTACCATTTACATCAACAAACCGGTTGGTCCACAGTTTGGGCGAATGGCACGCAAAAATCTGGACTGGAGAAATTCGTCCCATAATTGCCGAATTTCAATAACTTTGAAACAGTAATAAGATTTATCAAGCTCATTCTCTCTTGGGGTTTATTCATGGTGAGAATGCACTTAGCTTTCCAGCTAGCTAACAAGCACCCCGTTAAAATAATTAAACTAATAGAAATTATCTGAAAAGCAAATATGAGGATCAAAACAAAGACAGCAACAGCAACAGCGACAACAATTGGCAATTGGAATCGAGGCCGGGGATTTGAATTCGGTATGGCCTAAAAATAAATCCAGTTAGCAGTCGGAGCGAGATTAGAACCCGGGACTGCCAGATTACACTAAAAAGCAATAGCCACTCAGCCATAGAGCTGCCTCTCGTGTTGAAGATAATGTTGTGCTTTTGTTCTTCACCTTAGCTTTAAACGAAATATGTACCGAGTATTTTAACGTCTAATGAACAAGAGAACTATTTACTTTCACTGCTTTCGTTTGTCGGCAGCACGGTCGGACTATTACAGCTTCCACTGGTGATTGCCACATCATCGATAGCTATATCTCCTGTACTTGAAGACCCCGCAATACCTTCGAAGGTTATCTATAATTAAAGTAGATTTAAGTTAGCCCTAGTAGTATGCAGGACGTTTGTCACATGAACCTAGTTTAGTGGCCTTGGCCTCCTGTAGCTAAGTGGTACAGCACCTGGACCAGTAACAAAGGGTCATAGGGTCGCGGTTGACTTTTAATGCCGGGAAGTACTGGGACTTTTTCCTCAAAGCCACCCGTGTCAGTGACTGAACGATTATAATCTTTCTCATAATTTCAATAGGCCATTTGCACGATTACGTCGTTTTACCTCTACGACCAGAATCCTTTACGTTTTTCCTTAATATTTTAATTTTGTAATCCCAGAGAGGTTTCAATAACAAAACCGCTAATTTGCACAAGAAAGCAAAACCCTGAAGGATGCCGGTCATAGTAGTGAAATGACGTTATCATGCATGCAAATAGCCTATGTTTTGAGCGAATAAAGCAAAAAGGATCTTTAAAAGTATCGTGGGACGGTTTGGCAAGATCATTTGATAGATATCCTTTTACGTGCTTAGGATTTTCAAATGATCTCTCGAGCTTTTCAGGGATTTCTGAAATTTAATCAATACCAACGATCGCGTTTTCTTGAGAATCGAACTCATTAAACTTACACTGTGTCGCAAATAAATTGTTTCATTTCCTCGTATCCAGTGGTTACTCTGATTCCCAGATACATTGAAAACCAGCTCATTCCCGCTGTAAACATTAAGAGTCCCTATCGTAACACCATACATGTGATAATAAAAAACGAGACAAGCTGCTGCGCCATTTCCAGGAACAGTCACTTGAAGTTTTGCGTTGTCACCTTGTTGCCTAGGTAACGACGTGTCTATATACATGTAGTAACCTGCAAGAGCATTATGATGTTATTGATATTGGTAATGATGAAAATATGAGAATGTAAATTATCTATTAAGCAATTCCCTCTCTTAACACAAAACACACTTTTCGAAAAAAAAAAAAAAAAAAAAAAAAAAAAAACGTACTCAGTCTCTTTTAAGCTTCTCCCATACACACCAATCAAAGTAAGGTACAAAGTCAATAAAATTATTGTCACTTACATCTGTAGGCCTTCATGCCAGACAATCAGTCTTTCTCTCCTCAGACAAAACAAGAATAGCTAACCGCCTTCTTATTTCGCTACCACCACCAGCCCCTCCCCTTTTGTACCACCTCCTCTTCCACAACATATTTTTAAAAAAATTGTCCTGACAGAACGAGGTTTTTCAATGACTCGGTTCATAAACGTCATTTAAATAATGTAATTCTCAGTGTTATTGCCGTATACATAAATAAGCAAACTGGGTATGAAAATGCTGTCAGTTTCAAGACAGTTATTTGTAATAGTTCTTTAATGCCTGGAATATACTGCATAAAGAGCAAAACAAATTAATACGATTGACAAATAATTATAGTGATGTTCATAACGACATTGGCTTAGATCTTGGAGTAACTTTCTGCCCAGATTTACCAATACACCAGCATAGTAAGGTCTCATTTACGAGGGTCTTAATGGCGTGGTAGCTTTGACAGTTGACTGATAACATGCAGATATTGTGAAATCATTTACAGTGTTAGTGTATGTACCGTTTCCAGTCGTGTGATCTGATGAAGGCCCCGTATTAAAAGATGGAGTACTTCCGTTTCGCAGTGTCCAGTCAAATACGTCTGAGCGAGACTGACGCCATCCATAACACAATCCATAGTCAAAGCTACACGATGTTTGTGCAGAAGGCGACGTCCAGGGCGACCACGTTGTCCATGGAACAGAAGTTGGTGGTGCTGTTGGTATAGACAAGTTGTATATTCTTTTAACGTTTCCCGACTTTAAATTCAGGCGGTAGCGAATATACAAACAAAATCACAGCAAAATTTCCCAACCCGTTTTTTAAGAAAATGCTTTTTTCGTGAGATTGACTCTTAAACGCTGACAAACGTCAACAAATAGCGAAAACTATAATTTCTATATGTTTGCTTTGCTCGAAATCGCGCGCATTTACAAGGCCCTAAATTGTACTTATACTTACGATAAAAGTAAAGGTGGGGATACCAGAAAGCTTCAAAGGAGGATGGTACCCCCCAAGAAACTGGGTCGAGTCACCTTAAGTCGAAAGAAAGAACCGGCTTTTGTTGTTTCATTTATTAGAAGTACCGAATGTGCGCCTGAAGAGCTATGGGGACAGGGTCTTTTCGGTCGCTGCCCCAAAGCACTGGAATGATATTCCCTTAAACATTAAATTAAGTGAATCAGTTGATGTTTTTAAATCTAGATTGAAAACTTATCTTTTTAGACTCGCTTTCAATTGACTTTTTGTTTTAGTGCTATTGTTAGTTATTTTCTTTTTTGAATGTAAAGCAATATAGAGCTTTTGTATATACCGCTATACAAATAAAGTTATTATTATTATTATTGTTGTTGTTTTTATCTCTAAAAGACCGTGAAGCTATGCGATTTACCGCCGAAACGAGTGGCTGCTTGAAATGCAAAGTTTCATCCCGGCTTACATGAAGGGGTGAACCTGAGTACGGACGTACCCCATACGGACGATTTTCTCAGAACCGAAATTTCTTGGATGCATAGATTACCAAATTTTGTTACCCATGGTGCTCCGCTGCGCGCGCGAGAGAGAGCTCCGCCCTTGGGACGCACTAACTGTAATAACCTTTTGGTGATTTTTGCAGGCGTAGCATTTTTTCTTATGATTATGTCTTTACTTGCCATCCGTAACAACAAACCGGAAGAAACATTCAATGCCTGAATATAGTCTCGAATAACAACAGAATTGACCATTATGTTTGGAGTCGGTTTTATTGATGCAAAGTCTCCCCTTAAATATCCACATTCTTAATGAATTATCAGCAGGTCTGGATGAACCTTACAATTTATTTTGCATATCAATCACTCAACGGGCTCCTACAGACTGATAAATCACTAAATTCAGACGCCACATTCAAACTAAACAACCCTTTTCATGGCCACAGTCTTTCGATGCATAAGACCATGCATCAAGCAAAATCGCGAAATCAAAAGGAGCGAGTAAAAAATTAAACACAACAAAAATAATTTTTGCTAAAATTTCTTGAAATAGTGCTAATTTTTTTCTCCAATATTGCTTAGCGCAACCACGTATATTTTTGTAGGCTGCATAGTTAGGGAAGCAGAAACTGAAAAGGAAAACGAATTAACCACAAGTAAAGTTGTGCTAATTTAGAACCCCAAACGGAAGGAATGAACTTGTTGGCTATACATAGGGTTTTTACCATTTACATCAACAAACCGGTTGGTCCACAGTTTGGGCGAATGGCACGCAAAAATCTGGACTGGAGAAATTCGTCCCATAATTGCCGAATTTCAATAACTTTGAAACAGTAATAAGATTTATCAAGCTCATTCTCTCTTGGGGTTTATTCATGGTGAGAATGCACTTAGCTTTCCAGCTAGCTAACAAGCACCCCGTTAAAATAATTAAACTAATAGAAATTATCTGAAAAGCAAATATGAGGATCAAAACAAAGACAGCAACAGCAACAGCGACAACAATTGGCAATTGGAATCGAGGCCGGGGATTTGAATTCGGTATGGCCTAAAAATAAATCCAGTTAGCAGTCGGAGCGAGATTAGAACCCGGGACTGCCAGATTACACTAAAAAGCAATAGCCACTCAGCCATAGAGCTGCCTCTCGTGTTGAAGATAATGTTGTGCTTTTGTTCTTCACCTTAGCTTTAAACGAAATATGTACCGAGTATTTTAACGTCTAATGAACAAGAGAACTATTTACTTTCACTGCTTTCGTTTGTCGGCAGCACGGTCGGACTATTACAGCTTCCACTGGTGATTGCCACATCATCGATAGCTATATCTCCTGTACTTGAAGACCCCGCAATACCTTCGAAGGTTATCTATAATTAAAGTAGATTTAAGTTAGCCCTAGTAGTATGCAGGACGTTTGTCACATGAACCTAGTTTAGTGGCCTTGGCCTCCTGTAGCTAAGTGGTACAGCACCTGGACCAGTAACAAAGGGTCATAGGGTCGCGGTTGACTTTTAATGCCGGGAAGCACTGGGACTTTTTCCTCAAAGCCACCCGTGTCAGTGACTGAACGATTATAATCTTTCTCATAATTTCAATAGGCCATTTGCACGATTACGTCGTTTTACCTCTACGACCAGAATCCTTTACGTTTTTCCTTAATATTTTAATTTTGTAATCCCAGAGAGGTTTCAATAACAAAACCGCTAATTTGCACAAGAAAGCAAAACCCTGAAGGATGCCGGTCATAGTAGTGAAATGACGTTATCATGCATGCAAATAGCCTATGTTTTGAGCGAATAAAGCAAAAAAGGATCTTTAAAAGTATCGTGGGACGGTTTGGCAAGATCATTTGATAGATATCCTTTTACGTGCTTAGGATTTTCAAATGATCTCTCGAGCTTTTCAGGGATTTCTGAAATTTAATCAATACCAACGATCGCGTTTTCTTGAGAATCGAACTCATTAAACTTACACTGTGTCGCAAATAAATTGTTTCATTTCCTCGTATCCAGTGGTTACTCTGATTCCCAGATACATTGAAAACCAGCTCATTCCCGCTGTAAACATTAAGAGTCCCTATCGTAACACCATACATGTGATAATAAAAACGAGACAAGCTGCTGCGCCATTTCCAGGAACAGTCACTTGAAGTTTTGCGTTGTCACCTTGTTGCCTAGGTAACGACGTGTCTATATACATGTAGTAACCTGCAAGAGCATTATGATGTTATTGATATTGGTAATGATGAAAATATGAGAATGTAAATTATCTATTAAGCAATTCCCTCTCTTAACACAAAACACACTTTTTTCGAAAAAAAAAAAAAAAAAAACGTACTCAGTCTCTTTTAAGCTTCTCCCATACACACCAATCAAAGTAAGGTACAAAGTCAATAAAATTATTGTCACTTACATCTGTAGGCCTTCATGCCAGACAATCAGTCTTTCTCTCCTCAGACAAAACAAGAATAGCTAACCGCCTTCTTATTTCGCTACCACCACCAGCCCCTCCCCTTTTGTACCACCTCCTCTCCCACAACATATTTTTAAAAAAATTGTCCTGACAGAACGAGGTTTTTCAATGACTCGGTTCATAAACGTCATTTAAATAATGTAATTCTCAGTGTTATTGCCGTATACATAAATAAGCAAACTGGGTATGAAAATGCTGTCAGTTTCAAGACAGTTATTTGTAATAGTTCTTTAATGCCTGGAATATACTGCATAAAGAGCAAAACAAATTAATACGATTGACAAATAATTATAGTGATGTTCATAACGACATTGGCTTAGATCTTGGAGTAACTTTCTGCCCAGATTTACCAATACACCAGCATAGTAAGGTCTCATTTACGAGGGTCTTAATGGCGTGGTAGCTTTGACAGTTGACTGATAACATGCAGATATTGTGAAATCATTTACAGTGTTAGTGTATGTACCGTTTCCAGTCGTGTGATCTGATGAAGGCCCCGTATTAAAAGATGGAGTACTTCCGTTTCGCAGTGTCCAGTCAAATACGTCTGAGCGAGACTGACGCCATCCATAACACAATCCATAGTCAAAGCTACACGATGTTTGTGCAGAAGGCGACGTCCAGGGCGACCACGTTGTCCATGGAACAGAAGTTGGTGGTGCTGTTGGTATAGACAAGTTGTATATTCTTTTAACGTTTCCCGACTTTAAATTCAGGCGGTAGCGAATATACAAACAAAATCACAGCAAAATTTCCCAACCCGTTTTTTAAGCATTCACATTAGGACGCTCTGAAAAAATCATTGTCACATACCTAAACATATCACCGATGCATCTTCACTGTGGTCGCAGTTATGAGAGCTCCATCCACTGTGCATGCAATAGAATATAGAACTTTCACTTCCCGAACATGCAACATCATCCAGCCAAATTTGACCACTTCCGTTGCCGAACCAGGCAGACCCTGGAGCACTTACCGCTCCAGGAAACCCAAGTTGACGACAAACAACTTGCGCGTCATACATATCCCAGGAGTCATCACAAACGGTTCCCCAGATGTTATGATAATAAACTTCAACTCTTCCTTCCCAGCTTCCAGATCCTCCAACCAGCCGTAAACCTAACAACGGTAAAAGGAAAGACTGAAAACACACACACAAAAAGTTTAGATCCGAGCATGACCATGCTTAAGAGCTGGTGCATTTTTCAAGGGGAATAGAGGAGAGCGGTGTTGATAGTAATCAGGCGCGTACGTTTAATTAAAACTCTGAAGCACGACTTAATTTCAGAGGTAGATTTTGATTAACTCGAATAACGTATCTACATATATTAACCACGAAAAAAATCTTCGGCAATGCCAAAGGCAAATCCAGAAGGATTTCAGGGCGAGATTTGAACTCAGGGCCTTTTACCTGGATCCGGAGTAAAAAAAATATTGGCTAACTACTTAGCAGCATTGCCTAGCGGCAGCACTAAAAAATGGAATCCGGAATCCGGAAAAGGAAGAGGAATCACGGAAACGGAAACGGAATACGGAATCAAATATCTATGACAGAAAATTCACATTGCCGAAATAATGATTTTTAGTACTAATCTTATATTATTCCACTCAATAAAACAATCTCTAATTATTTTGTCAATCGGCGACTTCCAAGTTTATTCGCTAAAGCAAACGTTACGCATCTTTACTTAGCCACTGGGTAAAAATATTAATTAACTTAGCAATTAATAATGAGGCAGATTAGGACATGAAGAATTACGCAGATCGAGGAGGGTGTTATAACCGAGGCCGAAGGCTGAGGTGCATGGATAACACCCTACGAGATCTGCGTAATTCTTTATACCTTACGAAAGCCGAACTCATTGATTGGTTTATTATTCATTCAAAATAATTCCTAGTTTAAAAACAAGCTAAAACATGCTTACCTTCGTCGATATTAAGTTCAACTCAATACTGCATGTTAAGAAGAGAAAGGGCTGTTCAGGTCTGCAAATATTCTCCAAATACTGTTTTGTTGTTCGTCGAATTGTCTTCTTGCTATCTTTTTAAACAATAGTTCGTCGTGAAACGAATGAAATGTTCTGCCGACCGTTCGGCCATTTTTCTTTTTACAACCTAAACAACTCAACCTCGTCCCCAGGTCTTCTCGGTTAACGATGCATTAACCTGCAAATGTGCTACATTTTTTTTTTGTCATGGGTTGATTAATTGCAAAATTCTTCCAAATTTGGTCCATATTAGCCGGTTATGGGGAATAATGCGTGTGCTTTTAGCCAATCAGAAACGGATAAACATTTTGAATGAATAATAGTACGTTTTAATTACTGTTATGACAGCAAACATGTATTACATATAGTTGTATTTAAGTCGCCAGAACTGGCATACTGTATTTCGTGGACTGGACTGGACTTGTAAAACGCGGACTCAGGATAGGCTCCTTCGGACTTCTTTTTTATTTTTATTTTTTCATTTTTGATTTTTTGTGCGTTTATAAATCGTATAAAACTGCACGGTGAACAGACTTTTACAAAAACTAATTTACGTTTAAAAATTCTGTTCATGTATTTTTAGGCTGTTTTATTCCGACGGTTTAGCGAGCGTAACAACGCCAGTTAAAAACAATTTAAAAAGTTTTGGCCGCGAAGAAATTTATTTATCACCAGTTCATAATCGTAATTGTGTACCATCGAATCTTTAAGCAGCCAGTTGAATAATAATAATAATAATAATAATAATAAATAATAATAACAATAATAACAATAATAATAACAACAACAAGAATGATAATAATAGTTTTATTTTGGGATCGCCTGCTTTCTGTCACGCAGCATGTCCAATGATTTGCTTGTTCCCTTCAATACGTCTATAACATTGCCAGAAATTAGGGACAAGATGGCGGTTGCGCGTGCGCACTAAGGCCACAATGGCTGCGAATTCGTATAAGAAAATGTATGGAGATAAGGAAACTTTTTCAAATATATCGATTATGAGCTCACGGGTGTTCGGTGCCCGACTCGAAACATGTTAAGTGCTGTGTATCCCTCGCATCTGGGTTAAAAATAGCTAATTAGAAGTAGGTTTACTTACTTCCTGACGTGGCCACTTTCATTCCTTGTTGTACGCTCCATTTCTCCATACATTGTCTTAAAATCTTGCCGAAGTCATGCGAAATACTCGTCGATTAGAGGATAAACCCTTCACTGAAGTAAATTTGCCCGACTTGATATCACTTCTGCGATGGAAGATGTTTCCAAAACAGTCGTTAAAAGGACGATTTTTGCACTGCAAAATACTTCCAAAGGCGCATTATTTCCCTCAGTTTTCCATCTGTAGTCCAGTAATGGACGCCATGGTTGCGAATGACACATTTCGGTCGGACACAGCTTCACAACTCCAAACCCCACAGAATCGCCATTTTGTTTGTTGCTACAACTCCAGAGATGCTTCACGGGATATAAACTAGGTTCCAGGCATTCAAAAATCCTCGATTAGCCTACCAGGCTTGGTTTTAAAACAAAATTGTCACGAAAATGTCACGAAAGGTACATCCGCGTACTGTTTTGTTGCTATCAGCCGCTCGGCCGCGTATAAACCTAACATTTTCTTGCAAGGTGTTTAATTCCAGCTTTTTTCTTCGTAAAACAGATCCACAGAGCTCAAATTATTTAAAAAATCGCAAGGGATACGCTTTCCCTGACTACGATAGTTTTTGTCCGCCATTTTAAAAATGAGATTCCGCTGACAATTGATCACGGGCGCGAAATGTCCACGATTTCTGGCAATGACATTCTGATAAAGGAAGAATTCGCAGCAAAAAGTACACAACCTTATTTTTTCTAGCTTCAAAAGTAGATGCCCCGGAGTAAAATTGTATTAAGCTAAACGTACGTGACGGTCACTTATTTTACTACAGGAGACGGAAATGGTCTGGTGACCTTTGACGTCATCAAAGATTCGAGCCAACTTTCAACAAAATTTGCATTGTAATTGTCGGGCGAAGATGGCAGCTTCTTTCAAGCTAACGTGTCTCGTGAAAAAACGAAAACCTCCTGTTAATTTTCCGCGTTTCGAATGGAGAGATATAGATATAAAAGAACAGCTTGGAAGTGGGACGAAAAGACGACCCAAGATCAAGACTGATTGTTACTTTACAATATTATATGACACAGATAACAATGACGCTAAATTAGATTATGAATCTTATTTGTAGATTTATTTGCATAGTATACATTAATGTTAAGAGTTATGGTGCCTCTTATTTTCAGTTGAGAAGTTCTTTGAATTTAGATGATCGTGTTCATAAAGCAAACATTTTTTTTTGCGTTTTACAAGTCCTCGTTTTACTAGTCCGCGTTTAATAATGAAAGTCAGCGAAAAAATTTCCTTCGACTTTAGCGAAAATGGTCACCAGTTTCATAAAACCTGATACGGTTCCTAGACTTTTTTCTTTACATTTTGAAGAAAAAAAAATAAATGAATTTACTAATAAACTAAGTTTTGTGACTCCCGAAAAAAGTAAGCGCGAAGCGATGAGTGAAGTACAGGTTTTTCACCGAGCTGAATGATCAGTTCATTTTGGAAGTCTCTACTCAAGACAAATATTTTTTCTTGAATTATATTAACTTAGAACACGATGTTACTTTTACTTTCAGTTCAATATTATCCTTTTATAGTTCTAAATTCGCTTGCGTAAGACATAATTCCTCGCTAAATACTTCACCTAGATACGGCTAACAATGGTGGATATTTTCTACAGGTTTTACGTGTTTTTTTCTGATTTAAGAATCTTATACACAACAGTTGTTTTATTTAATCGTTACGTAAATGCACTTACTTAGGAAGAAAACACAGTAAATTCTCTCAGTCTTTACTAGCCCATGCTGCACTGGGCTTCAAACTCAAGCAATACAACAGGGAGTACATACAACCTCGTTTCCATGCTGCGCAGTATTAGTCTATATAGGGCTCTTAAAAAACTCGTTTTTGGTCAACTTCCCCTGCTCGGATTTTCGGGGACTTTTGATATGTTATAGAGGACATGTTCCGGGACCAAAAACCGTTAAAAAACCTTGTTTTGCAACTAGTGGCAGATTGACCGACTTTTCGCGATAAAATGCCTGGACTATTAAGGACCCTTAAAGAGTAAAGCCTCCTGTTTTACAAGTCCTCGTTTCACTAGTCCGCGTTTTACTAGTCCACGTTTTACAGGTCCGCGTTTTACAAGTCTGCGTTTTACTAGTCCACGTTTTACAAGTCCGCGTCTTACTAGTCCTCATTTTACAAGTCCAGTCCAGTCCAGTGGAGTCCACGAAATACAGTATGCCGCCGGAACGTGAAGTTAAAGGTCTGTTGATCATTGTACGGGAGAGAATAAAGCATGTTTCCGGAATTAATTTACTCGGCACAACTTAAAAAAATAGCTCTTGTTCAAACTTTAAAAAACACAATTACGCCGCATACTTACAAGTTAAAGTCACTATCTACACTACCAATTACTAACGTGATATTTGTAGACCTTTGTAAATATTTTTTTTATACTTCACTTTGAAGCAGGTGAAACATAATTCGCGTACGTTGTGCCGTTCGCGATAGCCAAGAATAGGTCACCGATGTCGTGAACCAGCAGCCACACTAAAATATGAACCTTTAGACAGATGCATCACTGTATTCATAGTTTGAATCATGATGATATTTAAACGTTATGCTTCTTAACACCTTTAGCCGTAATAAAAGACGGCAAAATTGTGAAGATCGAAAATGGCGGCCTTGACATGCCCTTGTTTGACCTTTAGCGCAGCAATGTCATGCTAAGATGCCAAAATCGCATTGGTAGCTAGCATAGTATCGCTTAGTACCTAACCTTATTGGCCCCTGCAACACACAGATACACATGCTAAGACCATTGACATATGAGCTATTTGTTTTTTCAAAATAGCTCAACAATGAATGATCCAAATAGAAGCCAGATTTAAAGAAATAACAACAACAATAACAAAAACAATTTGCAAATGGCAATCTGTAGCTATTTACAAGCGTGGTCCATTTAACTGTTCGATGACCGAAAAACAAATCAAGCTATAGTGGTCTGAACGGGACTGAAGCCCAGGACTGCCAGATGACAAAAGTATTAACCACTCTGCTATGCTGCCTCCCATAAATAAAAAATTCTTTTCTTGTTTGTCCACCTTAAATTTATGGGGGATAACACGCAGCTGCGGTGATAGATAGATAGAAACTTTATTTATGTGTCAAGAAGGAAAAACTAGCCGAGGGGCAGGCCCTCTACTAATAGGGGACACCTACAGTTAAAATATAATAGATACAATAATTAAGTAGATATAAAAAAATCCATGCAATATGTTACAAATTGTTAGCTAAAATACTAAAGCTGAGTACTAAAATGCTAAAATTATTTCCGATGAGACATCAACTATCACACAGAAGACATCCTTTGCATCCATCATCAGTAAGAGATGTCAGATCCTTATTACGCATTCGGTTTCTAAAATCACTTAATGATTTACACGTTTTATCATTTTTGTCCAGCTTACTCCATAAAATGGGACCTAAATATCGAAGGGAATGCTTACCAAATGAAACTGTGTTAAACCTGGGTAAAAGAAAGTCTGAATTTGTTAAACTGTAGCATGAATCACGGGGTTTAAAAATGTTGGTGATGGCTTCGGAACACATTTTAGTGTGTTTAACCTAGTACATTAGGAGGCATATGTCTCGAAGACGTCTATTCAACAGTGTTGGCAAGTTAGCCCTATTCAATAACTGATGATAACTGGACTTAGTGTCGTTATACACAGCCCTAAGTCCTCGTTCCTGGCTTCTCTTGAGTCTACGAGTATCGCTTGCCTGCAAAAATGCCAAACAAGGTGGCAGTATGTTAAGTATGGCAAGATAGCTGATTTAAAAAGTACTAACTTTGCCGTGGTGGGAATTAGATTTCTCAATCTCATAATTACCCCAACCCTTTGACTAGCTTTGTTACATACGTCGTTGATGTGTTCGTTGAAATTTAACTTATTGATACATTGATACTGATATTCCTTACGTGATACACGTAAGGAATGTAACCAAATACTTTTAAGCCTAATCAACTACTGGACTATGTACCTCCAGCGCCAGAATTTGTCGGCAACACAGTGGAATTATTACAGCTTCCATTGGCGATTGCTACATCATCGATAGCTATATCTCCTGTAAATGAAGACCCCGCAATACCTTCGAAGGTTATCTATAAATGAAGTACAAAGCAATGGGAGGTCTTCAAACACTTAAAGAAAGGCAAAGTCAAACAAGTTGGATCGCTGCAAGCGGAAACCGTTGTGAAATAAAATAAATAAACAAATAAATAAAGCCATGACTTATGATAAAGAGGTAATCAACACAAAGAAAACTAAGACTCATATTCCCCTCAAACTAGATTTACAAATAGTGGCCAATTTTAATGAAGAATTGGTAGCACGTTGATCTCGATAAAAGATTATCGTAAGGGGACTTAATAAAATAACTGAATAGATCCTTTCATATTATATGTAGGTTTTTCAACCAATTTCTGAAGATGTTCAAAGATTTCTGTGTGTAAAGATTTTAGCCACTGAAACTTAAGACCAACAGTCGCTCATGCCATTAAAGAGGATCCAAAACAGTCTTGGCTTCTAGATTTTACCCCATGAAATCCGGATTCCAGGTACTGGATTCCTGACCTTTGCCAGTGCAACTTGGAGTCCGGATTCCAATCTGAGTGGGATTCTAGATTCCTAGAGCGGTATTCCGGATTCAAATTGAAAGCCAGCATTCCGGATTCTACAGATAAAAGGTTTCCAGGGTTCCGGAATAAAAATTCACCTTTATCTAACTTACACTGTTTCGCAAATAAATTGTTTCCATTGCTCCTATCCAGTAGTTACCCTGGTTCCCAAATACATTGAAAACCAAATCATTACCGCTGTAAACATTTAGAGCTCCTATGGTATCACCATACATGTGATAATAGAAAACGAGACAAGCTGCTGCTCCATTTCCAGAAACAGACACTTGAAGTTTTGCGTTGTCACCTTGCTGCCTAGGAGACGACGTCTCCGTATACATGTAGTATCCTGCAAGAGCATAATAATAATAATATTAATAACAAAACAGTCAATAAGAATCATTTTGTAAATCCTCTATCTTCCTTGCTAACAATACAGCGTTTACAGTTAAATATGCCCGGTATGGACGTCAATAAATGGTATTTCAAAGAAAAAAACATTTTAAGGATAAGAGTATGGGGTTGTTATTGCTGCGCGCAAAAATAAACAAATTAGGCGTGAAAATCAGTGCTGTCTTAGTTCTAGGTTAATCAGTTCACATTTGTCTTTAATATCTGGATTATTCTGCATAAAGGAGAAAGATAATTAAACAACAACAACGAATTAAACAAACAAAAATGGCAATTTAAAAAAAAAAAAAGAAAAAAAGAAAACGTTAACTGTCGCTTATAAGCCCTACCTAGTTTTCATATTTAAATCGAGAGGGTCTGGGAAGGAGTTCGTTTATTATGGGATAAATATCACGAGACCCAAATAGTCAGAAAAGAACATTGAGGTTATGAAAAATTGGAAGTTTAATTTCCATCGGGGCAATACTTTACAAGACACAGCTTTTTACAAACTTGTCAATTTTTAAGAGATGTACGTATGGCCGGAGACATCGTCCGGACGTCTATACATTTCTTAGTAAATTTTGGGGTCTTTGAATTGTTGTATTTCGTTCAATATAGGCCCGATAAACACTAATCTTGAAAATGTTACTAAGTTCAATGTGCTCTTTCTGACTATATGACATTTCTAAACAAACTGAACAACGCGCGCGTTTAGTTAAAATCTTTGCTCGTACCACGTAGGCACTTAGCTTAGTATTTACAGCTACTTTTTTTTTTATTAAGCTTCAATCAATTCGAATTCATTTCAATTTGCAGCGTAATAAATGTTTCTACCGTTTCCAGTGGTGTGATCTGACGAAGGTCCCGTATTTGAAGACCAAGTACTTCCTCTTTGGCGTGTCCAGTCAAATACGTCTGAGGAAGACTGACTCCATCCATAACACAATCCATAGTCAAAGTTACAAGATGCTTGGACAGACGGCGAGGTTTGTGCTGTTGGTAGAGAGAATTCGCTTATTATTTTTTTTTTTTTCAAATAATCACAGCTTTGAGATTCGGGTTGTAGCTTCGTACTGTACGCTAACAAACAAACGAGCAAAAAAACAAACTCCAATCATAACTTATTTGATTTTTTCCTAAACTCTATTACTTATGTATAATCCACGATATTGATTAAATGCTTTGAATAAACATTTATGTAATCAGTTTTCTAAACGATTCATATCAGGAGGTTCTCCCACATTATCGGCCCCCTTACTAAGCGAAATGCACATGATATGACTATTGAATATTGTCACGTCCAACATACCTCCAGAGCATATCACCGATGCATCTTCTCTGTGGACGCAGTTATGAGAGCCCCAACCTCTGTGCCGACAATAGATTATGGAACTTTCCCTCCCCGAACATGCAACATCGTCCAGCCAGATTTGACCACTCCCGGGCCCGAATCGGGCATTCGTTGGGGCACTAACCGCACCAGGAAATCCAAGCTGGTGACAAACGACTCGTGCGTCATTTATATCCCAGGAGTCATCACAAACAGTTCCCCAGATGTTATTGTGATATACTTCAACTCTTCCTTCCCAGCTTCCAGATCCTCCAACCAGTCTTAGACCTAAAGTGCAAGAAAATAAGGGTAAGTGAAATGTGAAATGTATTTCTGGTGTTTTGTTTTGTTTGTTTGTTTGTTTGTTTGTTTGTTTTTACTTGTGGATTACGCATAGCGCAAGGAACGAGTTGATTTCCACTGACGCGTTTTTGTCTACGCACGTTAACGCTGGTAAATTTTCATCACGTTAATAAAATAAAGGCAAGATATAAAGTGTTGAGATTAAACGTCAAGTTAAGCGAGGTTCAACTTTTACGCTTACGAGCGACCGTTCATGCATTGCCTCTACCTTATTTGCCAACGTAAACTTTATGCATGTACGCTCGTAAAAATTACGCGACAGTGGAAATCAACCCTTATTGTGGGTACCGCAATATGCAAATATGTCACTCGGGTTTAGACGGCTTTCATAATTTGTCAGCTCGCACGATAACGCCCGATATCAAAACGACAACTGTCGTAGATCGATCGTTCCTGTTCCGTAATCAGAAATTTTGATGTTATGATTTTGTGCTATAGCTTCACGGGACGATAAGTTGGCTTCATGTGGACTTCGAATGTTTGAAATTAGCACTATGGCCAACTTTGAGACAAAAGTTTTACGAATTTTTGAAGCTTTCTGACTCGTGCAGGCGATAAACGTGACGAAGAGATCAGCAATTTCTCTTCGCCTCCCCAAGCTGGTCCAAGCTGACGATTCTGTTATGAGTCTCACGATTTTTTAACTTTGCATCTCAGTCGTCATACAAGTCGGAAGCCTTCTCTTTTACCGTCGTGCTTAGCTTGCTGTTTTGTTGAATAAGTTGCACCATAACGTCATTAGGTGTGCGCTGGATTTCTTCCGGGTTTATAGCTAGTTTTAGCCCAGTCTCTGCTTTCAATCGTTTTCGTTCTTTACCGTATGTGGTGGCTTGTGTTTTTTGGCAGAAGCGTCTGAGGCTTGCGGCTACTGCATTTCCAATGCGGTCCCGGGATGAATCGAAAAGCTGGTATCCTAACGGTAAAATGCTTCGTTGGATCACATCAAATGCCCTCATCGGGTGACCATGAACTTGACGCAATTCCCAGACTGCTTCTCCGTTAATTTGTAGAGAGAACATTGGATCTTTTTTATCCATAAAAGGAGGGACCATGTGGATTAGCAGGGGAATGATCGGGTTGTCTATGAGCCCTGAAAAAAGCTCTCGATCGTTGACGTTATCGTCGATCTTAGCGTTGCTCATTACGCGATCTGGCTGGCAGTTCGCATGAGTCAGATGTTGCACTGTATTGGCTTTGAAATTGGCGGCAATTGTGAACTATTTTACAACTGAGTGGTTTTCTTGAATGCTCATTGTATTATTCTTGACAACAATTGTTATTCACTCTTGGGCCTAAGACGATAGCTCGCTTGCTCGAGACGCGCCATTTTCGAACACAACCCCTGGTTCTACTCAACTGATTTTCAAAATTAAAACAGATTCTGTTCGAGAAAAGGCCCTTCTTTCATTTGCCGCACGTGGGTTTTTGAAACGCAGCGTAAATTTTCAGAAATTTTCTTTCGAAAATAACCTCCATACCAAAAAGTCCGTTTTTACTGACTGTATTTTCAAGTTCAAAGGAATAATGCTTACTCTTCTTCAATCTTCTTCATTTTAGGCTCAATTTGCAGGTACACCATTCATCTTCAAAAAGCTGCGCGTAGGTTTTTTTGTTAGGATTTGGCTTTTGGAATGCAGGAAAGCAAGTTTTATCAGCGCTACCTGACCAATTTGAGTCCTTTCTTCTCTTATTGTGAGATTTTCTTAGCCAGCCCGTATTCAAATTTGCCGCTTCGCTGATTATGAATGCAGTTGACTCTCGATAACTCGAACCTCGCGCTAACTCGAACGAAAATCGATTTCCCCTGGATTTCCGTCATACATTTACTGTAATTTTACCCTCGCTAACTCGAACCCTCGATAACTCGAAACTCCCGCTAACTCGAAGTAATTGTTGTTTCCCCTCAGATCACTTCCATATAATTTTACCCTCGATAACTTGAACCATGTTTTGAGGCCTTAAAAAGGCGGGAAAAAACAGTGTACTGCCTCCGAAGCATTGAATTTTGAATTTCCCATTGACGTGTTGTAGGCATCTAGTTTACTAGTGGATCGATAGTGGAGGCTGATGTTGTGTGTCACAAATCTAACGTGAAATAGCTTTACTTCGCAAAAAGTAAAATGCATGCTCTATTTAGGCAACGTTTTGTTACTTTACGTTCTGATTTATAATCTAAAAGTATCTTTCAATTTTCACTCAACATTTCTACAATTAAATGTGATTAAAATGCTCACTGTGCAGTAAAAACTGTTTTTTTTCCTTACTCCCGGCTATTTTCTTCGAGCTCCCGATAACTCGAACTCCCGATAACTCGAACCTTTTTCGATTTCCCTTGAAGGTTCGAGTTAGCGGGAGTCAACTGTATTTAATGGTGTCTCTGCATTCTTCGCGATTGAGTTTTCCCATGATAAGATTCCCAATCACAAGTTTTTTTAGGGGAATATCAATCAATATTATTGTTGCTGGATCGTACTTGATTTTCCTCGTGTAAATGCAGAGAATTGTAACGCCGACAACAAGAGACTTCACGACGGTTTTGCGAGACACTTAAAATTTCGTTTCGTCGGCCATACGTTCTTCAAATGCGACGAAATGAGTTAAAGCACGACTTTTAACGTCAAAACCCTGCTTATTTGCCTCGAATATATTTTTCATTTCTTCATAAAAAAGCTCTACCAGCTTCAAACAGTGTCCACCGACGCAATTTCATGGGCAAATTGTTAAAAATAGTTAAGGTGACTCGACCCACTTTTTTTGGGGGGGTACCATCCTACTTTGAAGCTCTCTGGTATCCCCACCTTTACTTTTATCGTAAGTCTAACACATAGAATGGATAACATATAGATCAATCTACAATATAACATAAAATTTTTGGCGATCGGAGTAAATGTCACGTGGTTATAATGCCACACCCCTTTAAGGTCTGAGTCGAAAATCTGCTGTTGCCGGCATTTTTTCGTGAAAATCTCTCGGCTACACATAGTGCGCATTAGTGCCTTGCGCTGAACAGAGTTTCACCAAAATCGCAAAGACCCAATTCGAGAAATTCAGCGGTTTCCAAATTTAGGTCAAAATTTATGCGAAAATGATAAGCAAACTTTACACGTATTATATCTAATAAAATATGAGATTCACCTCTTTATTTTGGGCATCCTTATAACAGATGGGTCCTTGCAAGTCAGCAAAACAATTTAGGGCCTTGTAAATGCGCGCGATTTCGAGCAAAGCAAACATACAGAAATTATAGTTTTCGCTATTTGTTGACGTTTGTCAGCTTTTAAGAGTCAATCTCACGAAAAAAGCATTTTCTTAAAAATTCGTAGTTTTTTTCCTTCAAATTTTTTCAGGGCCACAATTGATTAACTAACTACCCGGACTCTGAATTTCATGGTCATTGAAAAACTGTGACATTAGCTTCTATAAGCCCAAACTTGAGTAAACATTGAAGATTTTTAGCGTTTTGGCTGAGTTTGTGCTTTGGGAGTTGGCTATTGTTTCTAGTCTGTCATTATACAGCATTCTTGTTCAGCACGCGTGCAATGACCACGCTTGGCTGACTTCCGAATGCTCATCGAGATATGATAATTTAGTATAAGAAAATAGAAGGGGATCCTGTCACGAGGTGGCTTAATTATTGGCTTGCATTAAACCTATGAAAAAATGATATTTTTTAACAGTAAGTACATTTAGTGTGTAGCAATTCTTGATTTTTTTTGCAAAGGCACAAGAGGCAAGAGAATTGATTGAAAATTGTGAGTTAAACCTGTATGTATCACGCGATGGCCTGTCTCACTGTACCAAAATTATCATACCTCGGTGAGCATTCGGAAGTCAGCCAAGCGCGGTCATTGCACGCGTGCTGAACAAGAATGCATCATGACAGACTAGAAATAATAGACAACTCCCAAAGCACAAACTCAGCCAAAACGCTAAAAATCTTCAATGTTTACTCAAGTTTGGGCTTATAGAAGGTAATGTCACAGTTTTTCAATGACCATGAAATTCAGAGTCCGGGTAGTTAGTTAATCAATTGTGGCCCTGAAAAAAATTGAAGGAAAAAAAACTACGAATTTTTAAGAAAATGCTTTTTTCGTGAGATTGACTCTTAAACGCTGACAAACGTCAACAAATAGCGAAAACTATAATTTCTGTATGTTTGCTTTGCTCGAAATCGCGCGCATTTACAAGGCCCTAAATTGTTTTGCTGACTTGCAAGGACCCATCTGTTATAAGGATGCCCAAAATAAAGAGGTGAATCTCATAGTTTATTAGATATAATGCGTGTAAAGTTTGCTTATCATTTTCGCATAAATTTTGACCTAAATTTGGAAACCGTTGAATTTCTCGAATTGGGTCTTTGCGATTTTGGTGAAACTCCTGTTCAGCGCAAGGCACTAATGCGCACTATGTGTAGCCGAGAGATTTTCACGAAAAAATGCCGGCAACAGCAGATTTTCGACTCAGACCTTAAAGGGGCGTGGCATTATAACCACGTGACATTTACTCCGATCGCCAAAAATTTTTTGTTATATTGTAGATTGATCTATATGTTATCCATTCTATGTGTTAGACTTACGATAAAAGTAAAGGTGGGGATACCAGAGAGCTTCAAAGTAGGATGGTACCCCCCAAAAAATAACTGGGTCGAGTCACCTTAATGTAACATAATTGGTATCATCAGTTGTCGTGACGCAGACAATAGGGAACTTAAGAACCACGACGAAGTTCACGACGACGACGTCTGTTGACTGGGAAAAGACTGGAACGAGAACGTCGGTTTCGGCGGGAAAAAGGAAAGTTAAGATGCGGTCGGTCGGTAGGTCGACGACGACGACACTGAATGTAAACACAGATGTAAAACTGTGATGTTCGTTCGCAACAAAGTTTTTCGCAATGGCGTCTTTCAAAACAACGCAAGATCTTATTTGTTCAAGCCGTACGTCTAATTTCATTGACGATGAAAAAATTTTTGTGCTGTCTGACCTTTTCGAGTGGAAATACACCTACTTTCCGCACGAAATTATTCAACTTTCAACTTGAATGAGATGGCCGAGTCCGAGTGTCCGTCAGAGTTTAGATTTCGAAAAAGAGACCTTCTGATGTGATAGCTGTTTTCCATATAAAGTTTATTTCCTCTATATTAAAGATATATGATTTGCCTTACCTAAATACGTACAAATAAATTTATCACAATTCACTTACTAGTTCGCTCGCTCGGCCTCCTCAGCTGTTGCCATTCTTCAAAGTAAAATCAATTCATTAGTCGAATTTTTAATCAACATCGCTTGTTTGGAGAAAATAGGAACGATACCTGGATTTAGGAGGACAAGAAAATGTAAAGGCCTTCAAAAATCGCTTAAAACAGTGGATTTATACCTGCCGAAGCTTGTGGATTGCAGGACGACGTGATTCTACTTTCTTTGGCGTCGTCGACGACACCACGACGACGAAATTTACTAGTCACGCTTGCGCAGTACAGTGTAACTCACTTCCGGTCGTCGTCGACCAAGCCGTCGTCGTGGTTCTTAAGTTCCCTAATAGGGAAATTAAGAACCACGACGACCGGAAGTGAGTTACAGTGTACTGCCCAAGCGCGACCAGTAAATTTCGTCGTCGTGGTGTCGTCGACGACGCCAAACAAAGTAGAATCACGTCGTCCTGCAATCCACAAGGTTCAGCAGGTATGAATTCACTGTTTAAGCGATTTTTGAAGTCCTTTGCATTTTCCTATCGTCGTAAATCCAGGTATCGTTCCTTTTTTTCTCCTAACAAGCGATGTTGATTGAAAATTTGACCAACGAATTGTTTTTACTTCGCAGAATGACAACAGCTGAGGAGGCCGAGCGAGCGAACGAACTCGTAAGTGATAAATTTATTTGTACGTATTTAGGTAAGGCAAATCATATATCTTCAATACAGAGGAAATAAACTTTCTATGGAAAACCACTATCACATCAGAATGTCTCTTTTTCCAAATCTAAACTCTGACAGACACTCGGACTCAGTCATCTCAATCAGGTTGAAAGTTGAATAATCTTCGTAGGGAAAGCAGGTGTTTTTCCACTCGAAAAGGTCAGACAACACAAAATTCTTCATCGTCAATGAAATTAGACGTAAGGCTTAAAAAATAAGATCTTGCATTGTTTTAAAAGACGCCATTGCGAAAAACTTTGTTGCAAACGAACCACACAGTTTTACTTTTGTGTTTATATTTCGTTTAAATTCAGTGTCGTCGTCGTCGTCGACCGATCGACTGCATCTTAAGTTTTCTTTTCCCCGCCGAAACTGACATTCTCGTTCCAGTCTTTTCCCAGTCAACAGACGTCGTCGTCGTGAACTTCTTCGTGGTTCTTAAGTTCCCTAAAACCCGTTGATCTCACCCTACCGCTAATGGCCTGGGATACATAAATTTACAGACTTACATTATGCTGTTAACTTATTGCAAGTTCATTTTAAGCTTTCATTTCTAAAATAATTAATCCACGAGTTAGCCATGGGCACCCTTTGATTCTTTTAGATACTGTCTCGGCCTTTCTGCAATGGCGAAGGGTGCAAGACGCTTATACCAGTTTTAAATGTGTTTGACCATAGTTTAACAATGGTGCTGTAGGTTATATTGAAAACTCCCTGACCGTGCACAATCCTTTGTTTTCTGTCCAAAAAATTAAGACTGAATAAATTAATGCAATGTTTCGATTAGTCAAAAACATCAAAATGATAGGAAGGCTATTGAACGTTGTGCACGGTCAGGTCCAAAAACGCTAACAAAAAACCTATAAAAAAGGGTTTCCCGACCATTCCACTTTAATTAACTATGGTTTGGCAGAAATAATGAACCCTATTTCGTTGGCACTTAAGGTATGTTGATTTTTCTCCTATCTTACTTAAGCCATTTAATACAATATGTATTTGACAAACTGTAAACTTTTGTTTGTTCAGTGGAGACCGTTAATTTTAGTTTGTAAACCGCTCAGATGTAAATAAATAAATAAAGTTGTTGTTGTTTGTTGTTGTTTTTTTCGTTTTGCCTGTTCGATGCTCGCACAACGAGAAAAACACAAGTCCGCCTTGAGTTGATTGGGCAGAGTGATTGACAGAGAGATATCTGAAGTCTACCATTACCGACCATTACTAGCGTTTTTGGCTGTATGTTTCAAAAGACCTTAAAGTATAATGACTTGGGAATTAGTAAATATTATTATTATATATGTACTGAGATTTACTGCAAAATGAATATGTCAAATAAAAATGATGCGTTGCAGAGTACACGCAATCTGATTGGTTGTACGATTTTTCTCACTAGTGAAAAATACCGTATGACCAATCACAACCCGCAGACGAAAGTTTTCACTGGTGACAAAAATCGTATCGATTTTCCCGCCTTTCACTGACGGCGTCACTAGGCAAAAGGAAAACCATGGCGTCTTCTTCGAGCAATTCAAGGTTTGCAGATATAACTTCAGTAGAGGAATTTATTGAAGGACAAGAAAACGAAAACACCAGGAAGAAAACTGTACCTGAGGCGCCAGATGGAGGTGGAGAAGCGGTAACAAATCCATTCATTTTGTTGATTATCCAGGATTTTAAGTTACGAATGTTTGCGTACACAGTTGGCTTTAAAGGGGCGGCACAAGGAAGGCCACCCCAGCTCGTGGCTCCTTCAAGATACCATTTACCATTAAATTCGCAAACAAGCGGCCCTCCACTATCACCATGACAGGCACCCTGACCTCCCTGCGCTTTTCCAATGCATATCATGGAGTCGTCTATTCTTCCAGGGTAATAACTGAGACAGCGTTGCTTAGATACGAGTGGTAAATCAACCTGCATGAGTGCGTTTGGCTGTGGACCTAGGTAGTAAAGTCTTCCCCAGCCAGTGATCCAACAGGGCTTGTTAGAATTATCAAAGGGAAGCTGAAAGTTTATATCTGGAAGACAAACTAGGCCAACTCCTTTGCCAAGGCTAGCTGGTCTTGATAACCTGAGCAAGGCAATATCGTTGCTATAGCGGTTGGGAGAGTAATAGTTTTCGTGTTGGATTATATTTGTAACGTCAAAGTCTTGTTCTGTTCCAACGGAAGACCACAATCTGTAATGTGCTCCCAATCTATATAAACGAAAAAAAATAATAATAAAAGAAAAAAAGTAATTAAAAATATAATAATAATAGTAATAATAATAATGATATTAATAATAATAATAATAATAATAATAATAATAATAATAACGAACTGGTTACAGCATCCCATTCCTTAATAACACCTTATTTTTTGTTCGTGCATCATCCTCTAGAATGATAAGTGTTGCTAAATAAGGTGGAAAGTAAATTATTTCAGCAGAATTATTGGTCTTACATGGCACACAAAATCACTGCAATGAACTGCCTTCTCGTCAAATCCCACGCGGGGTAGTATAGGACCTGCTCGTACGGTCTCCCCTAATGGGTCGCAGGAACCATGCCGTGTCATTCTTTCTATTGTTTTAGTATTTTGGGGGGTTAGAGTGAGGCACCATTTGCGACTTCTCTTCCGAACAGCTGCTACATGACCCCCCACGAATCCAAATCTTGCCAAAGCGTACAGAAAAGTATCATTTGGACTTAGCGGAATGGATATGTGTGAATGCGCTGGACGTTTGAATGCAAACGAGACGTAGATAATTTGTATGGATTTGTTCTTTTCACTAAATCCCACAATTTATTACTCTTCTCAGATGGGATTCAATTAAAGATAGGAATGTCCTTTCCAGGCTACCAAACTGCTAATAAAGAACTGGGTATTGATTGGTTATACTTCTTTGTAGTAGTACGCCACGCCATAAAGTCCTGTCCGAGCTTTTTTGTGGACGGTATATACCAGCAACCTTCCCCCCGCCCCCTCCTTCCCACTTTATATATCATCTTGTAGTGAAAGCACATTTAGAGTTGCACTTCCAACTGTACTGGTTTTGCACTTGATCGTAAAGCCGTGTATAGTTAGACTTCCTACTCTTACCTCACTTTGACATCCGACAGAGCCTTGCTTCTTACACAGTGAGTTGCTGTTAAAACCCATTGAGGATGGATTAAGGATCCTCCACAGAACTGACTACCGCTGCTTGATAGTAGCATTGCCTGCCAGGGCCAGCCATTTACAGGTGCCTCGGACCCGTTGACGATCCTTGCGGTATAGACACTGGGCCTTATACCGCATGTTACTGTAATGATAATATAATTACTCTATGAATAACATATATTTTCCTTAACAAACAAAAACAAAAATACGAATGTTGCAAATAAGAATAAAATTCTCTGTTTGCTCAAGACGTTTTCTACGGTTAAACTCTCCAAAAAAAGTGACAAAAGATGTAAATGAGATAGCTCTAAGCCTAAAATCCATCATGGTTTGGAAAGTAGCATACTATTTGCATCAAATTTATCCACCATTATAAAGAAAAAGGTAACGGTAAAGTTTAATCATTTAACAGATACGATAATTTCACTTCATTGCTTGTCTACCAATAAGGAAATCAAGATACGCGGTAGTTAACCCATTTGGTCCCAATCCACATACAAATTCTCTAAACTAATCTCCGTAAAGTTTTTTACAGAATTAAGACAACCCGACAATCTGTTTAAAGCATTTTCCCTTCGGCGTTAATTTTAGCAATTACTATTACTTTTTTTTATTCTAAAATATTGATGAAAAATTGATGTTGGTCACTCTTGGTAGTTGAAAAGTTAAAGGTTGCTAATTTCAAAATTTTTCTGAGTATTAACACATTGGGTTAATTTGTGCAGATTTCTGATCCAGAATTCAAGACTTTTCCCATTTTTTTTTCTAAAACAATATATTTTTTCTCCACACTCAAGGTTATCAAATAGGTGATCAATAGAGACTTGAGGAAAAAAACGAAGGAACAAAGGAACAAAGCTTTTTCCATAACGTGCAGGCAAGATTGAAAAAGATACGAACAACACGAAAAAAATTCACTTGTGAAAGATTTGTTATAGCTTTCAAAAAAACTTTTTTCAAGACTTTAGCTCTATTTTCCAGACTTTTTCCGGGTACGGAAAATTACCAAGCTAATTTCACGACTTTTTTGAAATGGTACAGACCCTGTTCACAGAGGAAAAAACAAAAACAAAAACAAAAAAACAGTGGCGTTTCTCTCTTACGGTTTGCCGTCACGATGGCTTCTGATGGAGTTTTGTAAGGCTTCCCCATTGTGTCAACCCCAACGACTTCCACAGAATAATTTGTTGAATTAGTGAGTCCGTTGATTTCCGTGGTTAATTGATCCCCATCGACAACCTGATATAATGTGACAGTGTTATTTCGCCTGTTTAAGAAGACAACGTAATGACCAACTTTACGGCTGAGAATGTTGGTAAGGTTTGTCCACCGAATTAATATGCTTGAGAAGGTGATGTTTTCCACTGTTAAATTCCAACCAAAAGGCATTTGAGCTAAATATCAAAAAAAGACATACATTAATAAATATACAGTAGTCTATCAAGTGTTTTAACAGAAATAGGAATAGAAAGAATGAAATAGTAAAACCCTTAATGAGTGGTCCCAAGGAAACAAAACTATTTCCCGATGGATTAGTCTTAAAAGCGATTTGTTATATGGCTAAAAATTCATTAAACTTCGCTGTAATGGCGGTCGTCGGTCAACATCCGAGGGTAACTGACGTCATATAGATTTTGCAATGTTCTCGCTCACGAAACAATTTCATTGTTAGATGTCATGTGACCTCGAGGTAACCAATGAGAGAACACGCTGTTGGTAACAATTTTCAGCTAATAACAATGACTAATAGCGGAGCTCTGGCGCACGAAGCGCGCCTGCGGAGCACCATGGGTAAGTAAATCTACTCATCCCAGAAAATTTGGCAACCACGTGACCGTGCACCGCCCGCCCGTCCGTCCGCTCCACAAAGCAACCAATGTTCAACCTCACACTTTCTAGCTAGTTTGGGAGCATAGGAAGACTGATATTGCACATATATTGCACATCAATGTTGTGATCAATTGACAGCTGTCAAAAGAGGGTATCCGCTGACCAGTATCAACTGACCGTATCGCGGGCTCAGGTGTCGAACCATCGCCGTCAAGTATCTTTTTGAAGTTATCCGCTGACAAGTTACTAGTTTTCAAATGATTGCAGGCTCAACTTTATTTTTTTAAATTCATATGAAATATGTTGTGTTTTATATGTGCCGCACAATTAAAGTTTTGATTTCAAACTGACCTAGGAAGCTAAAATTCAGCCAGTTTTTACAGGCAGGGAAGACATGCCAGTTGCTTTTGACTTTTCTCACCAAGGTCACGCGTTGGTCACGCTTTACGTCCAATTATTATGCTCTGATTGGTCAAAACTTGACAGGTGAGTTCATGCGGAAAATTTATGCAGCATCTTGAAACTTGTTTAAGGTTTTGACAGCTGAAGCTGACAGAGTTTTGCGTCAACTTGTGATGTTTTTAAGTGTCTTTTTCCACTGAATGTACAAAATGAAATTCAGCTGCTATCAAGAGTCTTCTGTTATTCATGGCTAGTTTGTTTATTGGGTTTTTGGTTGAGAAATACGTCGCTTGTCAAAGTCGGAAATCCGAGTTCGGATAGCATCGTTTTCTTTTTTCACCTTGCTTGATGCGTAAGAGGGTTAAAAAGTCTGAAGCGATTCTCGCCTTACTTGATAGTTTTCAGTGCATCTCGAATGGTAAGCCTGAGTAATTATTTATTTGATGTTTCTTTTTTTATTTGTAATTTAATGAAGTCGAGCGTAGTTCGTAGTTCGTAGTCCGTTTGTTTTCAGTCCCTCATGAACATCGCCTGCCGGACTTGTCAAAATGCCAAGGGTATCAAACGCTTTTGTCGACTTTTGAAGATTACACATCGTTATAAAACCACTAGATAAAAGATAAACATAATAAATTATTTATTATGTTGAAGCGTATAACTGTAATATATAGATTTAGCCAGGGCTAAAAGCGAGGCTCCCATTAGTAAATTTATAATTTAAATTAAACAATAAACTTGTATTCGAATTCCACAATTCAGTTAACTTTAGAGCACATTTATGTGACTTTTGAGGGTAAGGCTACCTGATTTTAGAGAAAAATAATTTGCAAACAGCCCAAGAGTGAACCAAATCTTACATCGAGTTGATAGCCTCATATGTACACTCAAAAACTGGTAATCATCTTTTATCACATTTAAGAGCCGTAATGGCTATTTGGCGTTCGACAAGTTTACTTTGCAAAATCTTGCCAACAAATCTGGGTGCGTGTAAACCAACCTTTTATACCATGGACAGAAAGCAGTATTTCACAATACAAATTGCTCTTATTCAATATTCATAAACTGTTAAAAAAATTTTCCAAAATCACCTATACGGCCATCCGGTTCTCACTTTTGTAGTGCGAGCTCTAGCGAGTGTTTGAATGAACATTAACAGAGTTACGCTCCAAGATAATAGAGAATTTATCATGTTTATTTTTTATTTGATGGTTTAACGCGCGGCATTTTGAGAACTCCTGCAAGCGATGTTCACTGAACGACTGAAAACAATCGGCATAGCGATTAAAATTGCAAGAGAGACTACCAACAATCAATAAAAGAAATATAATTCGGTGAAACATAAACAGAGACAACAATTTTCATTCAGGAAGACAAGTATTAAAGTGTCCCTAAATATCCTGAGTCTTCAAGCTTCAAGCTTAAGTTTGCTGAAGTTTATGTTTTAAGCCAGCTTCCCGGTGTTTGTTTTTTCAAAGACGAACTCGAGGCAAGAAAATCGCTCAAAGCTTTCTTTTCCGGCTAGAATTATAACTAAAGATTCTTTGGAACATTTTCTTTATATTTACGGTGAGAAACTGTCTAAAGGCTTTTTAAAGTTCTGTAAGATTATATCAAACCAGATACTCGGTGAGATCGTTGTCTCAAAACTTACAAACGCGCATAAACTAAATTCCCGCATAAACTACGCTCCACTTCATTAAATTAGATACAAAAAACAAACATGAAATACAATAATTTCTCTGGCTTACCATTCGAGATGCAGCTCCTGAAAGTTATCAGGTAAAGCCAGTATCGCTTCAGACTTTGCAATCCTCTTACGCATCAAGCAAGGTGAAAACGAAAACGATGCCATCCGAAATCGGATTTCCGACTTTGACAAGCGACGTTTTCTCAACCAAAAACCCAATAAACAAACTAGCCATGAGTAACAGAAGACTCCTGATAGCAGCTGAATTTCATTTTGTACATCCAGTGGAAAAAGACAGTTAAAAACATCACAAGTTGACACAAAACTCTGTCAGCTTCAGCTGTTAAAGTAAACAAGATTCAAGATGCTGCATAAATTTTGCGCATGAACTCACATGTCAAATTTTGACCAATCAGAGCATAAAAATTGGACGTAGAGCGTGACCAACGCGTGACCATTGTGAGAAAAAACAAAAGCAACTGTCTTCCCTGCCTGTAACAGCTGGCTGATTTTTCACGTCCGAGGTCAGTTTGCAATTGTGCAGCACATAAACACAACATATTTCATATGAATTAAGAAAAAAAATTGAACTTGAGCCTGCGATCACTTGAAAACTAGTTTACTTGTCAGCGGATAACTTCAAAAAATACTTGACCTCGACGGGTCGACACCTCAGCCCGCGATACGGTCAAGTGATACTGGTCAGCGGGTACTCTGTTTTGACAGCTGTCAATTGATCAAAACATTGATGTCCAATATGTGTGCATTATCAGTTTTCCTGTGCTCCCAAACTAGTAAAAGTATGAGATTGAACGTTGTTCGCGATCTAGTAAAACAGTTAACTGGTCAGCGGACAGCTTCCAAATAAATCACGTCACCTCGATGAGTTGACACATGAACCCGTGATATGGTCATGGGATACTGGTCAGTGGCTATCCTTTTTGGACAGCTGTCAATTGACCATATTGTTAATGTCCTATATTAAAGATGTGGGCTTGCCAAGACACGCCTGAGACACCCCTTCCTTCCTTTTGATAGTCTCCCCTACCCCACCCATACAATCTGTAGACGCGTACGTACGTACGTACGTACGCTCGGTCAATCACGTGACAACCAAACGAAAAGAGGTTGACCATATTCCATGGGTATGGGGCTCTGTCCCACGCGCGCTTCGCGCGCGCGAGAGCCCCGCTATTAATCTTAATTTAAACAGTCGACTTTGGCGCTTGTCAAAAGTGAGAACCGGCTAGCCGTATAGGTGATTTTGGAAATTTTTTTTAACGGTTTCGTTGAAAGCCCACGCTTGCTTCGATCGTCCTAAATACTGAATGAGTGCAATTTGTATTGCAAAATTGTGAAATACTGCATTCTGTCCGAGGTCTGTAGGATAAAAACAGCGCACCTCAGATGTGATGTATAAAAAGTATAAAAGGTTGGTTTACACGTCCCCAGACTTGTTGGCAAGATTTTGTAAAGTAAACTTGTCGAACGCAAAAAAAATTCGGCCTGATTTGTTTTCCAAGAATTTGTTTTCCAGGCCTAATCTACTGTGATCAAGAGCCATTATGGCTATGCTATTACTTGGGTGTACATATAAGGCTATTATATTAACTCGATGTAAGATTAAGTTCACTCTTAGCTTGGACTGTTTGCAAATTAGTTTTCTCTAAAATCACTTAGCCTTTCCCTCAAAAGTCACACCAATGTGATCCAAAGTTAACTGAATTGTGGAAATTACAAGTTTATTGTTTGATTGAAATTATAAATTGGAGTTAATAAGAGCTTCGCTTTTAGCCCTGGCTAAATCTATGCATTAAAAGATATAGATTCGTGCTAAATAACTAAAGTCTACTTGCGCCAAGCTTCAAATTGAACCAAGGGAAACTAATGGCCAAGTTTTAAGTGACCGAGTACATTTTAAGGAATGGAAATAAAAGAGACAAAACTAATGATGAAGTTGTCGTAATCTTACGTCAACATCTCCATGATTACCGCATGCTAAACTTCCTTTTCCTGATTTTAAGAAGTGTACAGCTATATTTTTATGTCACGGCGTTATAAAAAGAGGCCAGAATTGACTGGCTGAACCTGGTGTTTAATAAAGAAGAAGGCTACGCAAACTAGGCTTATAGGCAAAGAAGCCAATTTAAGTGCTTAAATTTATTTTTTTTGACATGCAAGTCATCGATATTGGGTTGTACCTGCATAAATGCTTTTTCTCAGTATCAGGTAATCAGCCTTGATAGCACTTCCCAAGCGACGCATGTTGAAACTTGCTGTTATGTTGTTTGAGGCAGAAAACGGAACCTCTACCAATGATCCACGAACAGAAGACGAGCAGCCGCTTTGGTAAAATTTCCGAACCCCATTACCGTCAAAAATCTTGAAATATTCACTGTGGTAATAAGGACAGAAAACAAAATAGCCCGTCAAGAGAATTTACACCTTTCCATTTATACTTCATGTTTCTTAAGAGAGTGATTATTGAGTCAGTTACCGTGGAACCCCGTTAAAACAACCATCAATGGGCCACAAAAATTTGGCCGTTTTAATGACGAGGGGTTTTTACGAGGAACTGAATGGCGGTTTTGCAAGCTGGCAAAAAAAGAGGTCGTAATGCGGTGAGCAGAGAGGCTTAGGCCTCTCTTCCATGTCTTAAAAATACGCATAATTATAATGTTTCGGATGGCAGGAACGACCCCTTCCTAGCAGCTGGAGAAATGACACATTTTCAGTCATATGAAGCATAAAACCATTCATGAATTCCATTTTCTTTACAAGATATGAAAGCACCTAGTTCATGACACTGAGCACGCCAAGGAGTCATTCTATGATATTTCATATCTCTTTTTAATGCTCCACTTATTTTTTGGTCCTTTGCTACAGATAATAAGAGCTATACCAAAGACAAAAGGGCTCTGTTCTTGTAACGAACTCTAAATTGTAACAAAATTACAATGGTTTAAGTGGTTTCTTTCTTCTACAATTCAATCATAATCAATAATTATGGTCCCCAACACATAATAAAATAGTGCTCTGATTTAAATTTTAGCATTGAGTTGCATCGGATTTAATAAAGTAGCAATATCAATGAATACCTGCAATAACGAAAGTTTATCTCCTGAATTAACACTAGACCAATTGCTTGGGGGATATCGGCATTGCCGATTGACCAGGAGCAGTACAAGCTGGTGTAATCATAATGCGTCACACTTATACCGCCTGATGATTGGTTGACCACCACCTTGCAAGCTGTAACGAACATGATTAGAAGACAGTTTCGAGTCTGCTTTGAAGGCTAAAAAATGAAAACGCTCAGGAAGCACTTTTAGAATCTTATTCTACATCTTAAGTAAGTATATTTAATAAACCGTAAGTACAAGAACAATTTTATGATTTTGTTTCTTATTTCTAAACTATTGTTAAAAGTGCAACGTTGGTTGCCCACACTCCGCCAAAGTTCATCCGCTGAACAAAGCGTCTCCTGTCCGGAGTCCAGAAAAACACCCTGTTCAGGGGCGTAGCTACAATCCCGGACAAAACTACTTGAGAAAGTTTTCCCCATCATGTCCACTTTCCTTCGCAACAAAACTATTTCCAAAACGACGCCTTTGCGGAAAGAAAACCCCTTCCCCCAATTCAATGTTGCTCCCCACAAACGCCCAGGGATCAGGCTTTCTTTTGAATACACAACAACATTGCTTTCAGGGGAAGGGGGAGAGGGAAGAACCGGTACAGCTACGATGTTTAGAAAAATGCTTTCCAGTATACAATTTTCTCAACAGTTTTGTCCAAGATTGTAGCCTGTTGGCTAGTTGTAGGCCTGCACTGTCCTCACCAACGCTTTGACCTCTTAAGCTTTTTAGCTCACCCCAAAACGTATAACTTATAAGAAAAGGTGAAGTTATCAAACAAAAAATTTGTAGGCCCGGGCCAACAGGTTTATAGATTGCTCTGATAGCCACGCGCCCGTTTTTAGTCTCTACTCACCCACCCATTGTTTTTATTGGTTAATGGTGATACCTCAAGATTAAAATTTACTATTTTGCCTTCGGTTTTACCTGTGGTAACATAATAAAAAGAGGAATTCCGTCCTTCTCCTTTGGATGTATACGCCGCCACAGAAACATCATAGCGCTGAGCCGGTCCTAGTCCTGCTATCAATGCCCATGTTATGTTAGGACTACTAGTGACTAAACTGCTTGTATTAAATGGTATTGGAAAATAGGCGCTCCTCCTGAAGTAAACTCTATAGCCTAACAATCGGCCATTGTGAAACTGCTGAGGAAGAGGATTCCAAGTAACCTTGAACTGCGTTTCTCTTACTTCAGAGAACGTTATATTGTTAGGAGCAAGACCAGGAACTAGAGAGAAATACAACATGAAAAGCTGTTATGAATAAGTTATAAATCGGGATTTGGCAGGCAAGGTAACCAATGAAATAAAAACATACCCGATTCCTCAGTCCACTCTGTCACCTCTGAACTCTTGTAAACCTTTCCGTTATCATTTACACCAAGAACATTGAGTCGATATTCCATATATGGCGACAGCCCATAGAAAACATTAGATGTGGCATTTCCTTGCAGGATATTTCCATTCACAATACTTCCATTGCCGCTTTTTGTGACAGCCAGATACTGAAGAATGCTTTGGTCTAGCAGTGCTGACAGATTTTTCCAAGAAACGCGCATACTGGTTGCTGTTTTGTTACCAATCGATACGTTCCAACTGGAAACTAGTTGGGCTAAAAAGAAATCGAGAAAGTTTATTATTTGGGCGTGGCCCAAATAGAGTAATGGAAACGGCTTGTTTTGACGCAAATGTGCAATAGGCACGTAATACGTGCTAACGTAAACAAGGCAAGTAAACAAGCGAAGCGAGGCGAATGTATGCTATGCGAACGTCTTGTCTAAGGTAAGAGGCGTGTGGGAAAGAAAGCTCTGCTTGCACACGTCACTTAATCGCACTTTTACGATCTCAAAAGTTAATCTGAATCTTCAGTATTTTTGCCTCATCGAAATTTGGAAGTCTGAAGTCCAGGGATGAAATCTATAAAAAATAGTTGGAATATTAACGTCGGGTTTTGGTCACAAGAAGATCACAAGCAACGAACCTTGAAACACAGAAATCGAAATCCACCAATCACAAATCATAAACAATGACCTTTTGAACCCGTTGAAGAAAACTTTCGTTTCTTTAGAGGTCCGCTAAGATGATTAACGTCTGACAGTTTTTTGACGAGAAGATCGAAATGCACCAATCATAGAAAGACAGTTTTAATTGCATGTTTAAGAGGTCATCTGAATTTGCTGTTTTCTTTATTTTATCTCCTTTTTTTGTGATTGGTAGATTTTGTTAGGTCGAGTGAATAATCCAATGAGGGACGATTTAGATATCGTTTGATCCGAAATTTTTCGAAGCAGCAGTGAGAAGCGCTTTGGATAACATGTTGGCCGCGGCGTTTCGAGGGACGTGTTAATATATTGTTCAATCATGTTATCCCGGGTTAAAAGTTACAAATGCACACACTGTTCGCGGTAGGCCCACACTAAAAAAATAACACAGATTGTTTTCGGAATGGGCTGGTCCGCGAGCTCAAAGAAAGACAAGGGAAATTATCAAGACATTCGATGACATCAAAGACTCATGGACCCCATAGACGTAATAACAAATCGGAATATCGGAAGTGTACGTGTAAAATGGATAAGATTTGGAATAGAGGAATGTTGAACGAGTTTGAGAGTCGCAGGATTTGTGTAGCTGGTTATCAGTGTGACAATAATGATTTTGAATTTTGCATGGCGGATCACAGCGAGTTGCCTGTGATAAAAATCTGTTCCGATGAAGGAAGAGACGTTGTCAACAATTGAAACCAAAAGGGACTGAGGCTTCTTTTGGAACCACTGTGATAAGTGCGACAATTATTTTTATTATTTCAATTTTGTTTAGAAGGGTGACGGTTAATGTACTTGTTTTTGTATTGCGTGTTGTGTTTTTTGATACGATGCTGTGCGTCGGGATTTTGCACTATCAGCAAGTTTTGTGTGGCAGCGAGGTGACGACAAGAGAAGGCAACGAGCTAGTTGTACAGAAGGAAAATTGTATTGTGGAGGAAATAAAAGAATTTGAATTGAGATCTCGTCGTGGGAAATTTATTTGTAACAGAACTTACAATTTCATCGGTTTAAATCAGGTTTTATATTTTCGGCATGACAAATTACCATAAAATCGAGATTGTAATTGAAATTCGAAACTCGCGTTGTTTTCAAAATTTGCATAAATCGGGCGGTGCAAAGAAATATTTAGGTTAAAAGCACTTCGAAATACTGTACCATCAGAACGGCATAGCTTTTACTTGTTGTGCTACATCTTTCAAAACTATCGATCGATTCTAGCTCAAAAACTCTCAAAGCGGCGGTTTAAATGCTAAAGCCGTGGCTGGTTGAAATCGTCTCTTGTTTTTTTTGCAAACGATTTAGGATGAATCGAATCGACTTTAGATCGATTATTATTTTATCAGCTTGTGGTATGAACGAAACGTTTTTCTTCTCGATAAAGTTCACTCAAAAAATTTAGAAAGATTCACTTGTAAATATCCATTTTATAGTGCTTAAAACAGTTTGAATCACCGGGTTAATTTTAGCCAATTTAAGCTTTGTACTGATATAGGGAAGAATCCAGGACCTTCAGTTTATGTAGATGCTACAAAAACAATTAATGCTCCATACTGTCAAGGAAATGTTACAGAATTTGGGGAAAATGGTGGACAACGATGTGTCGCAATGAGTCTGTGAGCTTTAATTTACAGTAAGATAACAAAGATTACTTCAGTTGATGATATGACTCAAATAATGATTGTTGGTATTCAATTATATTCTTGTCTGTCACTACTTGCAAGACAATCTATGACAATGTTAACAGAATTGCCAGGAATGGTTACAGTGAGCAATTTTTCCACCTTAGTACAGTGACAGTACTTGTAACATCCATCACTACTGTATATGCCACTCACAGGTTACAGCATTTGAAACACTCTTGGCACTGAACTACGAATCATTATCTACAGCACTCAGGCTGGGGGATATAATGTATTTGATTCTCATGCTAGAGATATGTATCATAACAGTCATAGTGAAGGGACATGTGTATTGTTGGAAATACCATCCATGCATAAATTAGTACAATATTTTCAGACTCTACATAGGAATGAGGATATATATGAACTTAAAGGTGTACATATTGCCAACTTTAAACCTCATCTTTTCTCAAGCAGTGTTGAAAATTGTAGTATATCAAATGTTAATAGTTACCAATGTTCCTGTAAATAGTGCTGCCCTATAGCAGTTTATGCAATGTGTTACTCTCTTATTAACCCTTGTGGATGCTGGACTTAAGGAACTTTATTTGCCCTCGTTAGTAACCGGTATACAACTGTACAAAGTGATGGGTGTGAAAACACATCTGTCAGTGTCAGTGGAGCTGAGGTAAAACTTATTCTCTGGGCTGTAACCAATTATGTCCTATGTTGTAATTTGGCTCCAAGCATGTCTGCATATTTTCACACAGCATGAAAATGGAGATTTACGCAAAATTAAAGTGTGTGTAAACCTGCGTAAAGTCGGTCATCCAACTTTACGCAAACTTTTCACGGCGCGTAAAAGTTTGTAAAGGTAAATTTACGCGCTCGGCTCTTAAAGGTTTCGTAAAGCTAGCATAAAGTTGTTGTAACAGCTTTACGCTCATTTACGCTACAAGTAAAGGTTTAGTAAGGTTGTCACATAATGCTAGCTTCCTAACAGGAATTTATTCCCGGGACTGTTTTTAGTAAGTCGTTTGTGTCCTGATACTAGTTCGCATAGTTTTTTTGATCACTCATTTGGTGTTCGATGTTGGTGTGCGATGTAAACAAGCCAACCACGCAAATTTTTTTTTGGTGGTGCGAACGACTTCGTACACGCTTAAAAATGACGCTAAAAAGAAAATTCTGCTGGCAGAGTTCATGCAAAGATATAGCTTGCGACTGTGCGGCAATTTTCGAAAAACGGCATATCTGTCGCGACAAACACAATAGCCTTCAATACTCAGTAGTATTGCCTCATTGATTTCAGTCTGTATAAGGTGTTTCTTCCTTAACGGTCACCTCTCTACACGGGCCATTTTTGTTTTGTTTTTTTTTTTCGGCGGACTGTCCATACATGACATACATTCACTCTCCTTTCAACCTCTCTACTATGGCCACTTTCTTCGATGTCCCTAAGGTGGCCGTTGTAGAGAGTTTCAACTGTAATTTGATCAAATTGAAATAATTGGAAAATAAAGAAAAAATATCGCCTCCCAAAAACGGCGAGTTTTACTTAAAGAAAGAACGCATTACTTAAAGAGAAAGAACGCATTCACAAATTACTCTGACTATTTTACATTCAACGGACCACTGGCTTCATTGTTGAATCTCCTTTATCGCTTCCTTATTTTAAGTCCGTGGACTTCAGTTTTGGGAACGGACAATTTGTTAAAAGATAGGGGCCTGGAAACAACAGAGTGAAGGGACACCTGGTCAGCGGGCGTGTTCCTTTGCACATGCTCATTCAGGTTCGTTGATTTGGCGTCCATTTTGAAAGTGTCCAACGGTTTCAAACTTGCTTCTTTGAAAGTTTGGAGATCGTTCATATATTATGCTTCTTGATAGGATCACAGGACATCTTAAGGTTGTTACAATTTATAATGGCACTATCAGCCTTTAGTAATCGATCACTTCTCAAGTGTGCAGCAACCCTTTCGGGACGAGATACTCAGTCAGAAATGGAGACAGAAACCCCGGGGGTACTGCCATATATGGGCTATATAGGTATGTGCCGCTTTGAAGGGTATGGTTTTCAAGCAGTTTACTCTAGGATAGGGTGTATAAATCAGAGCGTTTGGGTCTAGAATAGGGTATCATTTTTCAGGAAACTGATCAGTTGGTTGAAGATTTTGTCTAGACAAGGTAAACAGCTACTCTAGGATAGGGGGATTTGGGGAATTTACTCTAGTATAGGGTAGCAAAATTCAGCTGAACTGGCTCTGGTATAGGTTAAGGGTTCCAGGGTCCCAGCGGCACATCCCCACCCAGAAATTCCTAAAGTACCCAACCCCCCCGGGACAGAAACATCGTGTGAAGCGCAAGCATTAACACTGGAATGTTCACAACACAGACCAAGACTGTATTACACGTATTACTAAGGCTCTTCGATACTCAAGATCTCGCTGAAAAGAGCAGATAGTAAGGCAAGGTAAGTTGTCCTGGCTCGCCTTTTCTCTAACTTTTTAAGCTTTATTCCAACTTGTTTATGATGAGTTCGAATGACTGTCTCAAGTACTCAGTAACTAACATTTCAGTGAGCAATGAAACCAGCATTAACCGTTTAAAGTAAATTATAACTAAACATGTGTATTTAGTTGGCATAACCTTTCAATACTAAGCAAGCAACGAGACCATGACGATGAAGATGATAATGTAAAATCATGTAAGGACTTTGGGGGTCTGAAGGAGTAGAATTTCCTTGTTTTGTACTGGAAAATAGGAGTTTGGTCACTGGTACTGGGAATTACTAAAAGAAAATAATGGAATTAAGAAAGGACATCTGTATAAAGTAAGCTTACATGTAATGTGATACAAACATTCTTATGAAAATTTTCACAGACTATAGAAGAACTAATAAACAGAATAGAAAAGTGTTAACAAGTGTTGAATTTGCAAGTAGGCAAAGATAATCTACGTAGTCTGGTTCTCTAT